CCTAGCCGCAGCTCGGCTGGGGTGTCCGTGACGTCAGCACGACCCTTTGTGGGAGGTGGGGGCCCCTGCGGTTGGGGTTCGGAATGAGAGCGGCTCCGGGTCGCGGGATTCACTGGCTTTCTCTTGAGCTTCCGAAGCCACCTTTGGCTCCTCCGCTGTCAAACTTGGCATCTAAGTCATCCCATGGTTTCTATGGAGGATGGGGCCGAAGGGAGTCTCTGTCGCCTAGGCAACCGCCCACCTGCGTTGGAGTGGGGTCTGACCTTTAGCCTTTTTGCTGTTGTCTCCTGAAGTTTCTAGGAGGAACACTATACAGTAGTTGACACATAGCAGCTGTTCACTAAACATTTGTTGAGTAAGTCAAATAAATTAAGATAAAGACTGACCTGAGGGTTGGAGTCTTGGGCTTTCAAGTCCTGACCTGGCCATTGCATAGGTGACTTCAGCACATCCACTTTTACTGAGTGTTTACTATATGGAAGGCTCCGTGCAACCGATATTACCCTACTATAACCGGGGCTTGAACGGTGCTAGTCTAATAGGCACTGCTCAAGCCCACGTTATTATAGCAGTGTCTAAAACAAAAATCCTGCCCAGCTAATTCACATTTTCAGGGTGGTTGGGGATGCCAGACACTAAAAAAGAAATGTTAAAGAGTATTTACAGGTCTGCAATCCTTTATCTATGACTTTAAAATCCAAAACGTTGTAAAAACTGAAAGATCTTTTTCTCTGTTTTGCAACTTACCTGGTAGCCCAACCTCACCTGGCTTTGAACTTGTTTGCTGGCAATACCCACTCTGAACTGATGTGTGACTATTTAGAATTTTTAAAGATTTTGTTGTGCAAATCATATACTTGCTTATGGAGAGTTGCCCCTGGATCTCGCCAGTGTTGTAATATGTAATAGGTTCTAAAATCCAAAAAATTTGACTGGGCATGGTGGCTCCTGCCTGTAATTGCAGCACTTTAGGAGACAGAGGCGGGCGGATCACCTGGGGTCAGGAGTTCGAGACCAGCCTGGCCAACATGGTGAAACCCCGTCTCTACTAAAACTAAAAAAATTAGCCGGGCATGGTGGCATGCACCTGTAATCCCAGCTACTCAGGAGGTTGAGGCAGGGAGAATCGCTTGAACCAGGAAGCAGAGGTTGCAAGTGAGCTGAGATCGTGCCACTGCACTCCAACCTCGGTGACATAGCAAAACTCTGTCCCAAAGGGAAAAAATAACATATATTTTTTGCCCACCATCATGTAATACATGGCAGAAGCAAGATCCAAACCCAGGCAGATTATGTCCCAAGTTTATCCTCTTAACCCCTACACAGATCTGTTTCTAAGTGGCAGGTCTTTTTTAAGGACCATCCAGCTAGATAATTCTGGCCCTGAGCTTTGAGTCTCTGGCTAGATGTCTAGACTTGCCTGAAAGATGAATGTGTGTGACACAGCTGGGGACCCCCCTGCCTTCTTGGCATGTTTTCTTCTGCAAAGGAGACAATAATTTATTCACTCAGCAAACGTAGACCCAGCATTTGCTCTGTGCCAGGCCTGTGTGAGGCTCTGGGCATACTGTGGCAAACCAGACAGGGAAAAGTCCCTGCCATTATGAAGCTTACATTCTAGTAACTCAGAGTATGTCAGGTGGTGACAACCACTGTGAAGAAAAATAAAGCAAGGTAAGGAGGATAAAACACGCTATTAGTAAAATGGTGTCCAGGGCCAGGCACGGTCGCTTGAGCCTGTAATCCCAGGACTTTGGGAGGCCGAGGCGGGGGGATCACCTGAGGTCAGGAGTTCAAGGCCAGCCTGGCCAACATGGTGAAACCCCATCTCTACTAAAAATACAAAATTAGCCAGGCGTGGTGGCACGCACCTGTAATCCCAGCTACATGGGAGGCTGAGGCAGGAGAATCACTTGAACCCAGGAGGCAGAGGTTGCAGTAAGGCAGGATCGTACCATTGCACTCCAGCCTGGGCCAAAAGAGCGAAACTCCATCTCAAAGAAAAGAAAAGAAAAAACAGTAAAATCGTGTCGAAGAAGATCTCTGAGAAGGTGACATTTGAACAGAGAGCTAAAGAAGGTGATGAGGAAGTGACGTGTGTGCACTCTTGGGGGAACAGTGTTCCAGGCAGATGGGAGAGCAGGTACAAAGGTCTTGGGGAAGAAACGTTCTTGTCACAATTGGGGAAAAGCACCGAAGCCAGTGTGGCTGACTCAGCATGAGCAAGGCGAGATGGTGGGAGAGGTCAGAGAGGGAACAGGGAAGTGGCAGATCATACAGGGGCTCCTGGGCCATGGTAGGAATTTTGGTGTTGATTCTGTCTAAAATGAAATCCACCATATGGTTTTGAGTAGAGGAGGGACAGGGACTGACTTACATTTTTTTTTAATGTATTTGTTTGTTTATGAGACTGAGTCTCGCTCTGTCGCCCAGGCTGGAGTGCAGCAGTACGACCTTGGCTCACTGCAACCTCTGCCTCCCAGGTTCAAGCGACTCTCATACCTCAGCCTCCCAAGTAACTGGGATTACAGGCGCCTGTCACCACACCCGGCTGATGTGTGTGTGTTTTTGTTTTTGGTAGAGATGGGGTTTCACCATGGTGTCCAGGCTGGTCTGGAACTCCTGACCTCACGTGATCCGCCCACTTCGGCCTCCCAAAGTGCTGGGATTACAGGCATGAGCCACCGTGTCCGACCCACCATATGGGCCAGGGTCTGACAGGGGCAGGGTCTGACTTAGATTTTAAATGGACCCCTCTAGCTACTGGGTTGAAAATCGATGTAGGGACAAGCGTAGAAGCCGGAAGTCTAGTTAGGAAGCTGCTGCAGTAGCACAAGGGAGAGATGGTGGCCTAGACCAGGCTGGTGACGGTGTCAGAACCGGGGATGGCACATGGTTAAAAGACTCTCTTACCCTGATTCCACACCCAACATCAGCTTCCAGATTTAAATCTACAAGAATGTTCTGACCTGCTGCCCCAAGATCCCAGTCCAGTTTTGCATTTTCGTTGTGTGAACTGGCACCAGGTTAAGAACATGGGCTTTTAGGTTCTGGATTCCAGCTGCGTCCCCACTGTTTTCTAGGTGAGTGGAGTCAGGTCTGGGGGAAGGAGAATTGTCACCCTTTGAGCATCATTTTGCAGGTTTCAAAGATGGGATGATCATCCCTACCTCATAGAATGGAGGGGAAGATTAAACAAAATCATGTGTCTGGCTTGCCACTTAAGAGCTGTGTGGCCCTGGGCAAGTCATTTTCTCCCTGAACCTCTGCTTCTCATCTCCCCTAAGGGGAATTGTTCTTACCTTGGAAAGGGTGATTGGGAAGGTTCTACAGATAATACCTCCCGAGAACTTAGGACAGTGATCTGCACATACTGAACTGTCATGAAATGAGAACCGTCTTCAGTGACTTAACCTCTGTGCAGCAGGGACTCTCTGTTCTGGTTACTGTGTCTAGGAAAAAATTATCCCACAATTCACTGGTGTAGAACCGCCATTTCTTGTGCCCATGGATCCTGTGGGCCAGGAATTCAGAGTGAGCACAGCAGAGTGGCCTGTTTCTGCTCCCCAATGCCTGTGCCTTAGCAGGAAGATTTGCAGGCTGGGATTTAAGTGGTCTGAGGACTTGCCCACTCACCCAGCAGCTGATGCTGGCTGTTGGCCGGGGGCCTCAGTTCCTCTCCACCTGAGCCTCTCCATGTGGTTTCTCTGCCTCGGCTCCTTTAGGCTGCCTCATGCCATGGAAACTGGCTTCCATGGGTGAGCAGCCTGAGTGAGCCAGCCAGGTGCGAGTTGTTTTTTTTTTTTTTTTGAGACGGAGTCTCGCTCTGTCGCCCAGGCTGGAGTGCAGTGGCCGGATCTCAGCTCACTGCAAGCTCCGCCTCCCGGGTTTACGCCATTCTCCTGCCTCAGCCTCCTGTGTAGCTGGGACTACAGGCGCCCGCCACCTCGCCCGGCTAGTTTTTTGTATTTTTTTAGTAGAGACGGGGTTTCACCGTGTTAGCCAGGATGGTCTCGATCTCCTGACCTCGTGATCCACCCGTCTCGGCCTCCCAAAGTGCTGGGATTACAGGCTTGAGCCACCGCGCCCGGCCAGCGAGTTGTTTTTTATGACCCAGACTTGGAAGTCTCATGGCCTTACTGCTGCCAGTCCTCTGTTGGTAGGAGCAGTCACGGCTCTGCCCAGCTCCAAAGGGGGAGGAACAGAGACCCTGACTCCTGGGAAGAGAGGTTACAAGGTTCCAAAGAGCACACAGGACCAGAAATACTGCTGTGACCTGCTTTGGAAAATACGAGTGCCATACTCTCCTATGAAGTGGTGATAATTCTGGAGCCGGCGTCCTGGGCTGTTGTATAGACTAAATAGGATAATGCATAGAAAGCTCTCTGCCTGGAGGACTCCTTCCCAGATATTGACAGCTCGCTCCCTGGTTTCCTTTGGGTCTCAGCTCAGATGCGTCCCTCTGGGTGAGTCCCTCTTTGGCCGCCCTGTGTGAATAGTGACCCATCAAACTCTGTGGCATCCTGTTTTCTTCTGTGGTACTTTATTGTCCTCCATAGCACTTTCTCCATCTGACCTGTTCAGCGGTTCCTTGCTCATTTGTTTGTTAGCTTCTCTTCCCCACCAGAACTTGAGCATCCTGAAGGCAGGGGCTGGGTTGTTTCCTTTGCTGCTGTTTCCCCAGTGACCGGCATAAACAGGAAACTCGGTGAATAATGATCGAGTGAATGAATGAGTGAATAAACAAACGAATGGATTTGGCACATGCTGGTGACATGACCAGTGCTCAATAAACATTAGCTATTATCTTTCCTTTCTGTGTGAAAGCATGAGTCAGCCACTCTACTTTTGTTCACTTACAGGTCGCTGTCAAAATGGAGTTTCCAGCCCAGTAAATCCAAGGGCCAGACCGTGACCTCATAAAGGTATTATCCCTTGGGCATAGCCTCTCAAGGCCTTTTTCCTTTTTCCCACCAGCAGCTGGCTCCTGCTTGTCTCCTCTGGGTTGCTGCTGGCCAGCTTTACTCCCAGAAAGAACATTGTGGTGGGTATGGCAGGGCTCGCGTGCTTAGGCACTTGCTGCATCCTGGAGGCATCTTTCCCGGAGGGCAGCCAGCATCTGGGGAAATTCTATGTAACATGAAGCCATTTAAAACCGTCACAGATTTCTGCCAGGTGTGGAGGCTCACACCTGTAATTCCAGCACTTCGGGAGGCTGAGGTAGGTGGATCACTTGAGGTCAGGAGTTCCAGACCATCCCGGCCAACATGGTGAAACCCCATCTGTACTAAAAATATAAAAATTAGCTGGGTGTGGTGGCGCATACTTGTATATAAAAATTAGCTAGGTGTGGTGGCGCGTACCTGTAGTCCCAGCTACTCAGGATGCTGAGGCAGGAGAATCGCTTGAACCTAGGAGGCAGAGGTTGCAGTGAGCCAAGACCGCACCACTGCACTCCAGCCTGGGCGACAACAGCAGAACTCCATCTCAAAAAAGAAAAAAAAATTAGCTAGGTGTGGTAGGGCACACCTGTAGTCCCAGCCACACAGGACACTGACAGGAAAATCACTTGAACCTGGGAGACGGAGGTTGCAATGAGCCAAGATCGCACCACTGCACTGCAGCCTGGGTGACAGAGTGAAACTCTGTCTCAAAATAAATAAATAAATAAAACAAACCATCACAGATTTCTAAACAAACCCTTTGTTCACATGAGAAATCTAGGCATGGCCGGGCGCGGTGGCTCAAGCCTGTAATCCCAGCACTTTGGGAGGCCGAGACGGGCGGATCACGAGGTCAGGAGATCGAGACCATCCTGGCTAACACGGTGAAACCCCGTCTCTACTAAAAAATACAAAAAACTAGCCGGGCGCGGTGGCGGGCGCCTGTAGTCCCAACTACTCGGGAGGCCGAAGCAGGAGAATGGCGTGAACTTGGGAGGCGGAGCTTGTAGTGAGCTGAGATCCGGCCACTGCACTCCAGCCTGGGCGGCAGAGCGAGACTCCGTCTCAAAAAAAAAAAAAAAAAAGAAATCTAGGCATAGTGGCCCACACCTGTAATCCCAGCACTTTGGGAAGCCAAGGCAGAAAGATTGAGCTCAGGAGTTCGAGACCAGGGCAATATAGCAAGACACCATCTCTACAAAAAGTAAAAAAAAAAAAGAGGCCGTGCGCAGTGGCTCAACCCTGTAATCCCAGCACTTTGGGAGGCCGAGGCAGGCGGATCAAGAGGTCAGGGGATCGAGACCATCCTGGCTAACACAGTGAAACCCCATCTCTACTAAACAATACAAAAAAAAAAAAACTAGCTGGACGAGGTGGCAGGCACCTGTAGTCCCAGCTACTCGGGGGGCTGAGGCAGAAGAATGGCGTAAACCCAGGAGGCAGAGCTTGCAGGGAGCTGAGATCGTGCCACTGCACTCCAGCCTGGGCGACAGAGCAAGACTCCGTCTCAAAAAAAAAAAAAAAAAAAGCCAGTCATGGTGGCACATGCCTGTAGTCCCAAATAACTTGGGAGGCTGAGGTGAGAGGATGGCTTGAGCCCAAGAACTCAAGGCTGCAGTGAGCCATGATCATGCCATTGCACTCCAGCCTGAGTGACAGGGTGGGACCCTGTTGCTAGAAAATAGAAAAGAAGGCCGGGCGCGGTGGCTCAAACCTGTAATCCCAGCACTTTGGGAGGCTGAGACGGGCGGATCACGAGGTCAGGAGATCAAGACCATCCTGGCTAACACGGTGAAACCCGTCTCTACTAAAAAATACAAAAAACTAGCCGGGCGAGGTGGCAGGCGCCTGTAGTCCCAGCTACTCGGGAGGCTGAGGCAGGAGAATGGCGTAAACTCGGGCGGCGGAGCTTGCAGTGAGCTGAGATCCGGCCACTGCACTCCAGCTTGGGCGACAGAGCGAGACTCCATCTCAAAAGAAAAAAAAGAAAGAAAATAGAAAAGAAGTATAGCAGAGTCTGACTGGCGAGGCTTCGGTAACAAGCGACTTCTAAATCTTAGTGGTTTCACACAATCACACATGACTTCTCACTAATACAACTTTCCAGGCACCAGCCTCTATGCAGTTTAATAATGTGTATATATATAATATGTTATTTAATATGTGTATATAAATATATATGTAATATTTGCACTCCAAATATTGGCACAGCCTGTCACTCAGGCTGGAGTGCAATGGCGCAATCATGGCTCACTGCAGCCTTGAGCTCCTGGGCTCAAGCCATCCTCTCACCTCAGCCTCCCAAGTATCTGGGACTACAGATATGTGCCACCATGACTGGCTATTTTTTCTTTTTTTTTACTATATATATATACACATATGTGTGTGTGTGTGTGTATATGTATATATATATATATATTTTTTGAGACACAGTCTCGTGCTGTCGCCCAAGCTGGAGTGCAGTGGCATGATCTCGGCTCACTGCAAGCTCCGCTTCCTGGGTTCATGCCATTCTCCTGCCTCAGCCTCCCGAGTAGCTGGGACTACAGGCACCCGCCATCACACCCGGTTAATTTTTTGTATTTTTTAGTAGAGACGGGGTTTCACCGTGTTAGCCAGGATGATCTCGAGCTCCTGACCTTGTGATCCGCCCACCTCAGCCTCCCAAAGTGCTGGGATTGCAGGCGTGAGCCACCACGCCCGGCCAAAATATATATATTTTTTTAATTAGTTAGGCATGGTGGCTCACGCCTGTAATCCCAGCTATTTGGGAGACTGAGGCAGGAGAGTCGCTTGAACCCAAGAGGCAGAGCTTGCAGTGAGCCGAGATCGCACGACTGCTCTCCAGCCTGGGTGGCAGAGAGAGACTCCATCTCAAAAAAAAAAAAATTGTTTTTTTAATTTTTAATTTACCGGGATACATAGTAGGTGTATATATTTATTGGGTACATCTAGGCAATTTGGTCTTGTGACGCCAGTGTCAGACACCCAGGTGTGCCTGGGGGAGAGGGAAGAGGCAGTGAGACCTCTACCTTAATAAAAATGCTCACTGGTATTTATGCCTTTGAGAAGACAGAGATGTTCTTTTACATATTATTAGCAGGACGATAGATCACTAAGTTGGACAACCAGTCAGAATGACTGGCTTTCTTTTTTTTTTTTTTTTTTTTAATATTTTTTATTTCAATAGCTTTAGGAATACACGTTTTTTTGTTACATGGATGAATTGTATAGTGGTGAAGTCTAGGGTTTTAGTGCACTGATCACCCAAGTGGTGTACATTGTACCCAATAGGTGGTTTTTCTTTTTTTTTTTTTTTTTAATTTTTTTTTAATTTATTTTTTATTATTATTATACTTTAAGTTCTAGGGTACATGTGCATAATGTGCAGGTTTGTTACATATGTATACTTGTGCCATGTTGCTGTGCTGCACCCATCAACTCGGAATGACTGGTTTTCTAGAGGGTAAAAGATACTTGACCGACAGCCTTTGCAGTCCAGATGTCTTATACGACTCCTTTGTTTGAAAAAACAAGGGCAGATTTATGCCACAGAGTGTTTCTGCTCTTCTGCAGCCTGAGGAAGAGAAATCCAGGACCCGTTCTCTCCCCATGTGACTGAGATTTATTTCACCAGCTGATGGAATGGCCTATGGTTTTTAAGGACAAGCTCTAGAATTTCAGAAGTTAGTACCTAGAGGAAATAGACAGGCCTGAGAAGCTCAGAACTTCCTATTGAAGAAGAAGGGGAAGAAGAGAAATATTAATGACTGGAATATAGTAACTTGGGTACAAGGCATGATATGGTCACAGCAAGCACTCACATAAAAGGCTTTCTGTGGGCCAGGCCCTGTTCTCAGCACCTCATATTCATTTAGACCTCATCAACCATTCTATGAGATAGGTGCTGGGAGAAGCCCTATTTTACAATGGGGTGGACTGTGGCACAGAGAGGTTAAGTAGCTTGCCCAGCATGTAGCGGATCTGGGATTGAAATCTGGCAGCCTGGGGCCAAACCTGTGATTTTAAGGACCCCACTGTTTGCATTTGCAATGAAGCCAGCCTTTACAGTGAATGAAGGAAAAAGGTTTGATCAGAATGGTCTCTTGCAACCAGGATGGTAGCTCATGCTTGTAATCCCAGCACTTTGGGAGGCTGAGGCAGGAAGGTTGCTGGAGGCCAGGAGTTCCAGACCAGCCTGGGCAACATAGTAAGACACCGTCTCTACAAAAAAAAAATTTTTTTAAATTAGTCCGTTGTGGCCGGGCGTGATGGCTCACACCTGTAATCCCAGTGCTTTGGGAGGCCGAGACGGGCGGATCACAAGGTCAGGAGATCAAGACCGTCCTGGCTAACTTGGTGAAACCCCGTCTCTACTAAAAAATACAAAAAAAACCTAGCCGGGCGAGGTGGCGGGCGCCTGTAGTCCCAGCTACTCGGGAGGCTGAGGCAGCAGAATGGCGTAAACCCGGGAGGCGGAGCTTGCAGTGAGCTGAGATCCGGCCACTGCACTCCAGCCTGGGTGACAGAGCGAGACTCCGTCTCAAAAAAAAAAAAAAAATGAACGTCACAAACATAGTTGAAGACCCTGGCTATGCCTCCTGCACACTCACCCTGTGATTAAGAGCAGTTCTCCAACAATACTTCCACTGACCTTCAGCTGGCCCGTTTGACTTTGTGTTTGTTCATTCTGTTTTGTAGCATGATCTCCTTCTGTCCAGACTGTGGCAAAAGTATCCAAGCGGCATTCAAGTTCTGCCCCTACTGTGGAAATTCTCTGCCCACAGAGGAGGAGCATGTGGGGTCCGAAACCTCTGTCAGTTCACATGTGTCATCCTTCCGAGGTAAGAACGAGAGCTTTAAGCCCATTTCTGCAGTGGGGATGAGGTGCATGCACGTGTGTGTCTGGGGAGGTGGGGAGGGAGGATGCCTTTGCAGCCTGTCTGACCCTGTCCTGATACTGGAGAAGCCCAGGCCTCAGGACTGGACCCCTCTGCCTACTCTCAGTCCCTTGGCCTCTTATTGGCCTCATGGCTTTGGACACTGTTTCCATGTTAACAATTCCTTCATTTCTATCTCCAGCCAGCCTGGACTCCCCTGCTTGGAGGAGATATATGTGCAGCCTGCCTGCTTGGCACCTGCAGGTTGAGTATCCCTTATCCGAAATGTTGGGGACCGGAAGTGTTCTCATTTTGGATTTTTTCAGATTTTGGAATATTTGCATTATACTTACTGGTTGAGCATCCTGATTCAAAAATCTGAAATCTGGCTGGGCACAGTGGCTCATGCCTGTAATCCTAGCACTTTGGGAGGCTGAGGCAGGCAGAGCACTTGAGGTCAGGAGTTCAAGACCAGCCTGGCCAACATCCTGAAATCCCATCTCTACTAAAAATACAAAAATTAGCTGGCATAGTGGCGCACACCTGTAATCCCACCTACTTGGGAGTCTGAGGCAGGAGAATCGCTTGAACCCAGGAGGCGGAGGTCGCAGTGAGCTGAGATTGTGCCACTGCACTGCAGCCTGGGCAACAGAGTGAGACTCGATTAAAAAAAAAAAAAAAAAAAAAAAAAAAGGCCGGGCGCGGTGGCTCAAGCCTGTAATCCCAGCACTTTGGGAGGCCGAGATGGGCGGATCATGAGGTCAGGAGATCGAGACCATCCTGGCTAATACGGTGAAACCCCGTCTCTACTAAAAAATACAAAAAGCTAGCCGGGCGAAGTGGCGGGCGCCTGTAGTCCCAGCTACTCGGGAGGCTGAGGCAGGAGAATGGCGGGAACCCGAGAGGAGGAGCTTGCAGTGAGCTGAGATCCGGCCACTGCACTCCAGCCTGGGCGACAGAGCGAGACTCCGTCTCAAAAAAAAAAAAAAAAAAAAAAAATCTGGACTCCACAGTAGCCCAGTGAAATTTCCTTTGAGCATCCTGTTGGCACTCAAAGTTTCAGATTTTGGAGCATTTTGCATTTCAGATTTCTGGATTTGGGATGCTTAACCTGTGTTGGATGTCCTGATCACATCTCAGTCTGAACTTGCCTTCACCTGAGCTCCTGGTGTTCCTGCCGCCTGCCCTGCCATAGACTTCCCCGTTGCCGAGGATAGCCCTCCGTCCAGTTTCTCAGGCCGGACCCTGGGGGTCATGCATGAGTTCTCTTTGTCTCCAACCCCTTGACCCGCCCACCCCTTCAGCAAATCTTGTTGGCTCCCTCTACAATCAGTGCAGTATCAGCCCACTTCCTTCCCCGCACCTCCCACATCCCTTGCCCTCGCCTCTCTTGTGCAGAAGCCTTTTTGCCCTCGGCTCCCCTCTCTTGTCCCTGTAGTCCTCTTCACGCAGCCGCCAGAGGGGTCCTGTGAATACAGAGTCAGAGCCCGTCGTTCCTCTGCTCATACTTTCCCACGTGAGGCGACAGGACCAGGTCCCCATTTCCCCTCAGACTCCACCTCCCGACCCTCCTGCTGTTGCCCGTGCTGTTCCAGCTGCACCGGCCTCCCGGCTGCCCCTCCACGCCTCAGCATGCCTGGGCCTCCGCCTGTGCGCTTGCCGCTCCCTCCTGGATGCCTCTTCCCTTATGGGCCTGCATGCCTCACTCTTTCACTGCCTTCAGGTTTTGTTTTTTGTTGTTTTTGTTTTTGTTTTTGAGACTGAGTCTGGCTTTGTCGCCCAGGCTGGGGTGCAGTGGCACAATCTCAGCTCACTGCAACCTCCGCCTCCTGGGTTCAAGTGATTCTTGTGCCTCAGCCTCCCAAGTAGCTGGGATCACAGGTATGTACCACCATGCCTGGCTGATTTTTGTATTTTCAGTAGAGATGGGGTTTCACCACGTTGGCCAGGCTGGTCTTGAACTCCTGACCTGAAGTGATCCACCAGCCTCGGCCTCCCAAAGTGTTGGATTGCATGAGCCACTGCGCCCATCCATGCCTTCAGGTATTTATTCAGTTGTCACTTTCTCAGAGACACTTTCTCTGCCACTACTAATTAAAGTTGCATCTTCCCTCTATGCAGTGATCCTGTCCCCCTTCCTTGCCGTGTATTTGTTTTTGGTACTTGTCTCAACCCTATTAAATACAGTATTTTACTTATATTGCTTCTTCTGTAAGCTCCATGAGGACAGAAACTTTTTGTGTTTCTGTAACCTGTGTTGATTGTGGTTTTGTAACCTGCTGTTAGCACAGCACCTGGGTCTGTGCCTGGCACGGTATCAGGTGCTGAGAAATCTTACTGACTGGTTGAATGAATTAAATATCAATAGTCGGTCTTGCTCACTGGAAGGCCCAAGCCCAGATACAATGTTGGTAAATCAAAGAGGGTTTACCCATCGGACAGTTGTGCAGAAGGCAGTCAGCATACATGGCGGGGAGTTGAGTGACATTCGTTTTATCATTTGGGAGTGTATTTAGCTGCAAATAACAGAAAATGCTATGACAAGGGTATAAACAAATGATTGGGTTTATTTTTATTTTCTTTCACTGGCAAGTATGTAGAGCAGTATTTTTCTTACTGAAAAAAGGAGACAGTGCGTGTTGGGATAGTGTCCCTATGATGCCCTAAGGGACCCAGGCTCCTCTGTCTTTCCACTCAGCCATCCTTAGCATATAGCTTTTGTTCCCATGCTTACTGCCTTGAGGTCTCAAGTTGACTTCTTCATCTCCACGGTTCTGGGCAAATGTGAACAGCGTTGGCCTTGGCCCAACTTGAGAGTCAGAGTGATTTTTTTGTTGTGTTTTGTTTCATTTTGTTTGAGATGGAGTCTTGCTCTGTCGCACAGGCTGGAGTGCAGTGGCGCGATCTTGGCTCACTGCAAGCTCCACCTCCCGGGTTCTCGCTGTTCTGCTTCAGCCTCCTGAGTAGCTGGGACTACAGGCACCCGCCACCACGCCCGGCTCATTTTTTGTATTTTTAGTAGAGACGGGGTTTTACTGTGTTAGTCAGGATGGTATCCATCTCCTGACCTCGTGATCCACCCACCTTGGCCTCCCAAAGTGCTGGCATTACAGGCGTGAGCCACTGTGCCTGGCTTTTGTCTTTTTAATACAGAGTCTAGCTCTGTCGCCCAGGCTGGAGTACAGCGGCACAATCTCGGCTCACTGCAACCTCCACCTCCCAGGTTCAAGCGATTCTCCTGCCTCAGCCTCCCTAGTAGCTGGTATTATAGCCGTGCAACACTACACCTGGCTAATTTTTGTATTTTTAGTAGAAACTGGGTTTCACCATGTTGGCCAGGCTGGTCTTGAACTCCTGACCTCAGGTGATCCACCCATCTGGCCTCCCAAAGTGTTGGGATTACAGGCATGAGCCACCGTGCCCGGCCAGAGTCAGTTCTTAACCCAACCTCTGCCTTTCCTAATGCTGACCTAGAGCCCAGTTCGTTATTCACTCCCTCAGTCCTCAGATGGCAAATATGTGTGAGTGACCGGCCATGTGCTGAGGTGCTATATTTGTCCTGAGGATTATGGTAAGAAACAAGACAGCCGTGGTTTCTGTTCTCTCATAGTTTTTACAGCTCAGTAAGGTGACAGACATTGAGTACATGATTATCAGTAGGTTGCATGATAACAGAGGGGAACTGAATGGACCCTGGAACACATACAAGGGAACATGTATTTCAGGGGATCAGGGAAAACCTCCCTAAGTGGGTAAAGTTTGAACTGAGCTAGGGATGAAAAAGAATGGGCCGGGCACAGTGGCTCACAACTGTAATCCCAGCACTTTGTGAGGCTGAGGCAGCCTGATCACCTGAGGTCGGGAGTTTGAGACCAGCCTCACCAACATGGAGAAACCCTGTCTTTACTAAAAATAAAAAATTAGCCGGGCGAGGTAGCGCGTGCCTGTAATCCCAGCTACTCACTCGGGAGGCTGAGGCAGGAGAATCACTTGAACCCGGGAGGGAGAGGTTGTGGTGAGCCGAGATTGTGCCATTGCACTCCAGCCTGGGCAACAAGAGCAAAACTCCGTCTCAAAAAAAAAAAAAAGAATGAGCAAGGTGGGAGTTGGCACGTGTGTTCCAGGCACTGGGACGTGATATGGGGAGCAGATGTGAGGTGAAGGGAGCCAGGCACACTGGAGGAGTAAGAAACATTTCCGCCTGGGGGAAGACAGGCAAGGCCACGGGAAGGAGTTTGGTTTTAACCGTTGGTGACGTGGAGAGCTGCGGAAGAGCTTCTGCCAAGTAGGCAACACGATAGGCTTTGCGTTTTGGAAAGACTTCTGTGGCTTCTCTGTGTGGAAAATGGATTCGAGGCATGGAAACCAGTTAGGCGGCCATTCCAGTAGCCCAGGGACCAACCATGCTGGCTGAGTTAGTCAGTGTCAACTAAAAAGAAAGGACATGTTTCTTAAGCTCCTTTTAAATCTGGGGCTCCTCAGTGGGCGAACTACAGCAGAAGTAATTGTTCCACTGAGAAAATTGGTGGAGACATTTGTCAGCCTTGGTGGTGGGTAAAAAAAGGAGGAATGTCGGCCGGGCGCGGTGGCTCAAGCCTATAATCCCAGCACTTTGGGAGGCCGAGACGGGCGGATCACGAGGTCACAAGATCAAGACCATCCTAGCTAACATGGTGAAACCCCGTCTCTACTAAAAAAATACAAAAAAAACTAGCCGGGCGAGGTGGCGGGCGCCTGTAGTCCCAGCTACTCGGGAGGCTGAGGCAGGAGAATGGCGTGAACCCGGGAGGCGGAGCTCGCAGTGAGCGGAGATCCGGCCACTGCACTCCAGCCTGGGTGCCAGAGCGAGACTCCGTCTCAAAAAAAAAAAAAAAGGAGGAATGTCTTCTTTGATAATTCCTTTTTTTTTTTTTTGAAACAGTCTTGCTCTGTCACCCAGGCTAGAGTGCAGTGGTGTAATCTTGGCTCAGTGCAACCTCCACCTCCCATGTTCAAGTGATTCTCCTGCCTCAGCTTCTCAAGTAGCTGAGTTTACAGGCACCTGCCACCACACCCAGCTAACTTTTATATTTTTAGTAAAGACAGGGTTTCACCATGTTGGACAGGCTGGCCTCAACTCCTGACCTCAGGCGATCCACCCGCCCCAGCCTCCCAAAGTGCTGGGATTACAGGCAGAGCCACCACACCCAGCCTTCTATGAGAATTCCTAATCAAGAATTTACATTCTCACCAGTTTGGAGCCAGAATTCACACTGATCTGTGTGGTCCCCCAAAATGCAAGCTGAACATTTAACTTAAAGTGGTGAGATGTGGGTACCACTCCCTGCCTGATATAAACAAATCTTCTCTTGGAAAACGTCCTTTAAAGACAAACTTTAGGGAATTACCACAGGTCAATGTCCAAGGAACATAAGCACCAGTCTCTGTTGATTTACAAAGACACCTGGAAATAAGCTAGCCTGAGAGTCAGCAGAAACAGCAAACTACAGAATCAGACCTGCCAAGACCACAGACCTTAGAATTAATAGATGAGAATGTTTACAAAACATGCTTAATACATTTAAATAAATAAAATAACAAATTGAAAGTATAATGAAGGAATAGGTTAAAGTTGCACAGGCAAATAAGAGAAGGAACCAAATAAAAACTCTAATGATTGTATGTGTATATATGTATATGTATGTGTCTATATATGTATATATATGTACGTGTATATATATACGCAATCATTGTGTGTATATGTATATGTGTGTGTGTATATAAATATGTGTGTGTGTGTGTGTATATATATATAATCGTTGTAATCAGAACCTCAGTGGGTGGTTAAAACAGCAGACTAGACATAGCTGAAGGGAGAATTAGTTAACCAGAAGATAAATTTTAAGAAATTACATGGAAGAGGCTGGGCATGGTGGCTCATGCCTGTAATCCCAACACTTTGGAAGACTGAGGCTGGTGGATCACTTGAGGTTAGGAGTTCAAGATCAGTCTGGCCAACATGGTGAAACCCTGTCTCTACTAAAACTATAAAAATTAGCTGAATGTGTTGATGCATGCCTGTAATCCCAGCTGCTTGGGACGCTGAGGCAGGAGAATTGCTTGAACCCAGGAGGCAGAGGTTGCAATGAGCCAAGATCATACCACTGCACTCCAGCCTGGGCAACAGAGTGAGACTCCATCTCAAATGTACGTACATATAAAGAAATTATATAGAAAGGACACAGAGTGGCAAAGTGCTGGAAGATACAAGAGAGACTAAGACCTAAGAAGGTGAGAACAACTAAGAGGAACAGTTTACTTAGATATTTATGTGATAGAAGAAGCAAGAATTGGTGTTGAGGGCCAAAGAGAAGAGCATAGCTGAATATAACCTCAGGGCTCCCAGTCCAGTGGAGCCTGCAAAGGGGGCTTTGTAACTCCAGTCTGCGTTTTGTCTGCCTTTCTTTAGGCTCAAAGAGAGGGCTGAACTCCAGTTTTGAAACCTCTCCTAAGAAAGTGAAGTGGTCCAGCACCGTCACCTCTCCCCGATTATCCCTATTCTCAGATGGTGACAGTTCTGAGTCTGAAGATACTCTGAGTTCCTCTGAGAGATCCAAAGGTAAGAGTTAAGGTCCATCTGGCCTGACTCTAAGTGGAGCAAAGTTGGGTTGTCTAATGATCTTTGGGACAAAACTGCCACAGTCCTGGCTCACGCATCGTCCATCTCTGCCTGTTCTCTGACTCCAGCTTCCCATCTCCCCCTCCAGTCTGCCTCTGAATGGCCCCAGATGGGTCTTTTGGCACCCAGAGCTGCCCTGGCCTCTCCCTGCACACAGCCTCCTACTGTTCCTGGTGCCTTCAGACCAAACTCTTCAGTCTGGCATCTGTGTGGCCTGGTTCCTGCTTTAGCCCTCAACACAGTCTTTGCCCAGAAAACACTTTTGGGGATTAACCTTGGTCTTTGCTAAGCCTGTTCCCTCAGCCCAGGACACTCTCACCTTCCGTCTTGGCCTTGTGTACTGCCACTCAGCCGGTCTGGTCTCTAGGAAGCTTCTCTTGAGTGCCGTAGGCTCGCATCCAGAGCTCCTCATCGTCCACCAGAGCCTCTTTCCAGCCTCTTTGTCTGGCATCCCCCGTGCCTGCTGCAGCCTTCATTGGAGCGCATGTCACTGTAGGCTCCACGGGCCTTTCTGCCTCACTTTCTGGACTGGGGGCCCTTTGCAGGCAAGGACCCAGCACAACTTGTGTATATTCCCTGTGCCCAGCCAGTGCCCAGGACACGGGAGGCCTGAGGACTGTGTTCCTTCTGTTCGCTGGGCCCCTGGATCCGAAGCCATAGCCGCAGTGGCAGTGTGAGGTGTCGCCTTTGCTCCTCATTGTCCTCTGCGCCTGGAGGCCTCTTGCCATTACTTGCCTTTAGGGGATGGTGGGTGGGAGGAACGGAGTAAACGATGCCTTTTCCTGTGTCCAAATCTGTGTGCCACCACACCGCCCCATTCTCTTGCCAGTCTAGGAACCCTTCCAGGGCAGGGCTTTGGTCTAACAAATTTTTTGGCCCCTTTCTATCTCAGGACTGAGTCCTTTTTCAGGATGTCTTTGCGTAAATGTCTAGAATGTCCTTTTTTCCCTGGCAAACTTCTACTCATCCAACAAGACCCAACTCTTAACTAATCCCTTCCTCCAGGAAGCTTACCCTGACTTCTCCAGGCAGGATCTCTTTCTCTTTTGGGCCCTAATATCTGTCTGTGCTGCGCTGTCTCAGACCCGCATCTGACTGGCTGTGTCTAGAGTAGACTTGCCCACCAAACTGGGCACTCCTAAGGGAAGGATGCAGGTCCGACTCCTATCTTGTACCCCAGTGTCATCACTCAAAGGCCTGACTCATAGAAGGTCCAAGGAAGTGTTTGTTGAATGAATGAATTCATAAAGGAACAGTAGTTTGCATACTGTTTCACTGCCCATCCAACTTTTCTCTCCTGGATGGTGCTTTTGCTTTATTCTTACCATCCTCCTGCAGGCTCCGGGAGCAGACCCCCAACCCCCAAAAGCAGCCCTCAGAAGACCAGGAAGAGCCCTCAGAAGACCAGCTGCAGCCCTCAGAAGACCAAGCAGAGCCCTCAGAAGACCAGCTGCAGCCCTCAGACGCTGAAGCGGAGCCCTCAGACGCTGAAGCGGAGCCGGGTGACCACCTCACTTGAAGCTTTGCCCACAGGGACAGTGCTGACAGACAAGAGTGGGCGACAGTGGAAGCTGAAGTTCCTCCAGACCAGGGACGACCAGGGCATTCTCTATGAAGGTACGCTCTGTCCATGGGCGGCCGGGGACTGGGTCGTCTCAGCACCAGGACAGTGGGAGGGGACCCCTTCCTGAGAATGGGAATGGAAGCCATGTCCCTAGCTGCAGACCTGCCGCTAGGCAACTTTCTCTTAGACCTAGGACTCTGCGCCTACCCACCTGCAGGGCCGGGCAACAGTGGGAATGAGTGCGGCAGGCTGGAGTAAGGCAGTTGGGCGTGGTGGGGACTGCGGCCAGTTGCAAGGCATGTGCCATGTGTGAAGTGTGCCCCTTCTCAGCCCGCCTGCTGCTGGCATGTGGGAGGCCCAGGGGCTGCGTGCTAAGGATGATTGTTTTCTGGCCCGTGTGCAGAGAGAGGATGGATCCCCACCTAAGATTTGGTTGAAACGTCAAGGTTGATGATGTCACACACGCACCAACAAGATAGGAGAGGTTTATTGCTTATATAATGGGGGGCTCTGTGGAGAGCAGGCAGGCCTCCCACGCAGATCTGAGATGCCTTGAGAGTGAGGAAAGGAGACTGGCCAGGTGTTTCATTGTAGTTGGGGGTGGGGCTGGGCTGAGGGTTCCGCCACACAGGCCAACACCATGCATGGTTTGAGTCTTATGGATGCAGACCCCAAAGGAGGGAGCACTCAGGCTTGCTCATCCGCTTGCCCAGGTGTGGAATGGAAGGGGAGGAGGGAGGCATGAGGCTGAAAAACCCAGACTCTGTTACAATGAGGAAAATAATTATGGCAGTAGTGTTAGTATTAACTGTACTAAATATTGAGTGCTTCTGCAAGGCCAGGCCTGTTCTAAGCACTTTACATGGGTTTTTCTTTTCCTTTCTTTTTGGAGCTTTTTAATTGAGATAAAACTCACATAAAAGTTATTCTTTTATTGGCTGGGCGCGGTGGCTCACACCTGTAATCCCAGCACTTTGGGAGGCCGAGGGGGGCGGATCATGAGGTCAGGAGATAGAGACCATCCTGGCTAACGCGGTGAAACCCCATCTCCACTAAAAATACGAAAATTAGCTGGGCATGGTGGCAGGCACCTGTAGTCCCAGCTACTTGGGAGGCTGAGGCAGGAGAATGGTGTGACGAGGGAGGTGGAGCTTGCAGTGAGCCGAGGTTGCACCCCTGCACTCCATCCTGGGTGAGAGAGCGAGACTATGTCTCAAAAAAAAAAAGACGTTGTTCAGCGAGACTCCGTCTCAAAAAAAAAGTTATTCTTTTATTATTATTTTATTTAATTAATTAATTAATTTTTTTTTTTTTTTTTGAGAGAGAGAGTCTTGCTCTGTCGCCCAGACTGGAGTGCAGTGGCGCGATCTTAGCTCATTACAACCTCCACCTCCTGGGTTCAAGCAATTCTCCTGCTTCAGCCTTTCGAGTAGCTGAGATTACAAGCACGTGTCATCACACCTGGCTAAATTTTTTTTTTTTTTTGTATTTTTGGTAGAGACAGGGTGTTACCATGTTGGCCAGGCTGGTCTTGAACTGCTGACCTCAAGTGATCCACCTGCCTCGGCCTCCCAAAGTGCTGAGAATACAGGCATAAGTGGCCACAAAAATTCATTCTTTTAAAGGGTGCAACTGAGTGGCCTTCAGGATATTCACAGTGCTGTGCCACCATCATCACTATTTAATTCCAGGACATTTCTGTCACCCCAAAAAGAAACCCAGTACCTTTGAGCCATCATTCCCATTCCTCTCTCCTCCCATCCACTGTTAGCCACTAACCGCCTTTCTCCCTCTGTGGATTTGCCCCTTCTGGGTGTTCACAGAAGTGGAGTCCTACACTGTGTGGCCTCTTGTGTCTGGCATCCCTCACTCAGCAGCATGTGCCCAAGTTGCATCTGTGCCGTGGTGCATTACTGCCACAGTCCTTTTACAACTGCGTGATATTCCACGGTATGGGAGCACCCCGTGTGGCTTAGCCACTCAGCAGCTGATGGGCGTTTGGGTTGTTTACACTGTGGGCTGTTAGGAGTAACGCTGCCGTGAATATTTGCTTACAAGTTATTTGATGGACAGAGGTCTGCTACATTCTCACCACAGCCTTAGGGTATCAGTACTATCCCTATCCTGATTTTATACATGAAGAACATGGATCCCAGAGGTGTCAATTATTAGCTAGGCTCTGGGCTCCAGAATCTTCCAGGTTTTCTAGGAAAAGCTTGAAACCTGGATTTCGATAGGAAATCTTTGATTTGGAAGTGCCCACTGGCCAGACAAGCATGTGGGCAATTTTGAACCTTCCATCGGCCATCCCTGCCTTGGAGTATGGGCGGGCGGGCAGGACAGCTGGTATTTCAGACAGCCCCGAATCTGAGTCCTGACTTGGCTCCAACACGCTGAGGGAGCCCCAGCGAACCGCTCAGGCACTCTATGCCTTGATGTCCCCCACTGGAAAAGTGAGATGAAGGCTTGCCCCTGTCTCCTTGGGCTGTTGGCTCAAATGATGATAGGAGATGGAGGCCAAGCACTTGGAAAACTGTACAGGATCGTTCCGAGGCAGAGGTAGGCAGTGTTAATAACAGGGACAGATAGGCAGGGCCAGGAAAGGTGACGGAGAGGGGAAAGAGTGTGACCAAGACCAAGCAGGAGCAAGAGAAAGAGGGCCGTGGCTAACACCTAGGGAGCACTCGCCTGTACCAGCACTTTTATTTTTAAGAGATGGAGTCTTGCTCCATCACCCAGGCTGGAGTGCGGTTGTACAGTCACGGCTCACTGCAGCCTCAACCTCCCAGGCTCAAGCAATCTTCCCACCTCAGCCTCCTAAAGTGCTGGGATTACGGGCAGGATCCCACGCCAGACACTTTGGGAACTCTCTGTGTCTTACCCATGTAATGCTGCCAGCCACACTGTGAGATAGGCACCCGTATTACCCATCCTACAGCTGGGGCACAGAGGGGAAGCTGCTTGTCCAAAGGCACACAGCCTGGAAGTTGTAGAGCTGGGATCTGAACGCAGGCACTCTGGCTTCTCCCAAGAACGGGAGAGAAAGCAGAAGGAGAGGTTGGGGAGAAAGAGCGAGAAGGCATCTGGATGAGAAGGAATGAGGGGCCAAGGAGCACAGATCGAGGAGAAAGGGAGAGGGATGAAAACCAACCGTGAGAAAGAGATTGAGGGGAGAGGGCAGAGCGGGGAGAGGGCAGGAGGGCGGGGAAGGAAGAGGGAGAAGGAGAGGAAAACACACTGGGCCAGGAGCTCCTGAGAGAAGAAACCACACTTGCCCTCCCCGGAAACCCACAGTGAAAGCACAGGAAGGGGCTACTCTGGGCCAGTGTGGTTTCGGTTTTGCCTTTTATGACTCGGATTGTTTGATAAAAATAGCAAACCCCAGCGCCCAACCTGCCTGAGTCATCCATTCCTTCAGCAGTCCCTTTATTTATTTATTTTTTAAAGTAGAGGTGATCTCACTATGTTGGCCAGGCTGATCTCAAACTCTTGGCCTCAAGCCATCCTCCTGCCTCAGCCTCCCGAAGTGCTGGGATTACAGGCGTGAGCACTGTGCCCGGCGGCTCAGTGGATCCTTAAGCAGCACCTACCGTGTGCCTGGCCACGGTGCCGTCACAGACACTGTGCAGGGGGAGCGGGGCTGGTGAAGACGCTGCTGATGCAGAGCTTGCATTTGGGTCACACCACCATCGGGTGGCATCGCCCCAGAGCAAATCGCCCTTTTCTTCTGCCAGTTTGCACCAGTCGAGAAGAGGTGGTGGAGTTGTATGTCCTATAGCTTAAAGCAATAATGATAAAACAAGAACAAGCTGAATCGTTACGGTTATTCGAGCAGTGGACACTTTTATCCCACTCTGCGCCATGCTCTAAGCACTTGATTAACCCTTATCTCTCTGTCCAGTACTGAATTATAATGTCATACTCCTGGGCCTCCCCGGAGCTGTGTGGGGGAGCCACCATCTGTCGTCAGTCACATGAGTCCCTGCAGCTGCTCACTGTGGCACGCTGGGGAGAACTGTCCATGAGCAGCAGCTCAGGGTCAGGCACATGCTGCCCTCCACAGCCTCTGCCTTCACGGATGGAAGGTGGGGCTTGTGTTAGCTTCCTGTGGCCGCTGTAACAAGTTACCACGGTGAGTGGTTTAACACAGCACATGCTTATTCTCCTGCAGCTCTGGAGGCCAGCAGTCCAGAATCACTGGGTACGGAGTTTAGGTGTTGGCTCTGCTGGTTCCTTCTGGAGGCCGGAAAGGAGAAGTCAGTCAGGGGCCCCAGCAGGGCCTCGGGAGGTAGAAGGCATGGGGCACCCTGGAGCTCAGCAGTGGGCTGGGCTGCCTCTGCTGGCCACTTGTTGCTTGACCTTTCAAATGACAGCGGGACCCTGTGCCTCAGTTTCCTCATCTGCAAAGGGGAGATGGTAATGCTACTGCCCTCACAGGGCTGCAGTCAGGAGAGTGAAATGAGTAGAGTGATGCCGGGAAAATAGCCAGCGCCGTGTACATGCTCCCTGGTGTTAGGGTCAGGATGAGTCCCAGAACAGTGCTCCTGCTCTAAGTTCAGGACCGGCTGACTTGGGCAAGGGGAGGCGCTCACCTGCCTGCCTGGCAGGCCCAGGTCTTCATTTGGCACACGTCGAGTTTTTCCATGTGTCAGGTTTCTGTCAAGCAGAAACCCAGATCTGCCACCCCAGATCACAGAGTCCAGAGCCCTGGGCTTGTGGCCCGTCTCCGTTGGGGCCCGTGGCCAAGCCCTTTTCTTGGCCAAGCCCTTTTTCCCTTCTGGCCTCCCTTGACTCCCTCTACATTGGAAATTGCCCAGCTAGCTTTCCAGGCTGTTGGCAGCAGAGTCAGTTAAAAAAGTTAAAGAGAAAAGCCTTCTATAATCTGCAAAGCAGTGCAGGAAAATTGTATCAAATTGCCGGCTTTTCCTGCCTGCCTCTGAGTGCCAGGCATGTATGCATTGTCATTGACCTCATGGTGCCTCTGAGAGACAGGTACTGTTCCTGTGCCTGGGTTCCAGACAGGGGCGGATGCTTGGTCATGATGTCACCGCCTGCTCCTGCTCCAGCATGATCCCCCCAGTGCTCTCCCCACAGCTGGAAAGGACCTGTCTTTCCCCAAGATGTGGGTCCTGCATAAGTCTCTCTCTCTTCCCTTGGGCTCAGAGCACCCTTGGCCTTGAATGTGTAGAGCTGGCTCCCAACCCTGCTGCAGCTGGAGCTTCTTGAGGGCAAGGACGGCTTCTTGGTGACTTTGTCACCCCCCGTCCTTCAGCCCAGTGTCTGAGATGATACCAGCCTCGATGGTGAAGGGAGGGTGGGAGCGATGAGAGCAGAGGAAGGAGGGACACCAGCATGAGTCAGGGTGCGCGGGCAACAGTAGCTCAGCTCACGGGCTTTGGGATTAGGGAGACCCAGGTCGAGCCAGCTCTGCCACTCCCCAGCTGCGGAGCCCTGGTGTTATGGGGATGTTTTAAAGCTGTCACCTGTGGAGCAATCCTGACACGCCAGGCTCCGTGCTGGGCTCTGGGCTGAGTGGGCTCACCGAGCAGTGTGTGTGCAGGGGGACGCAGACTCTTGCTGCACACATCGCTGGTGCCGCTCTTACTCCTGCCTGTCTGTTGAGTCCTTGCAGCCAGTCTCCGGGTAGGCCTTATTGCTCCGATCTTACAGACATGCAAATGGAGGCCCAAAGTCACACACAGAGTGGAGGGAGGAGCTGGGGTTTGAACCCTGGCCAGCCTGGCGTTTCTTGGCCTCTCTCCTCTTCTCGTCTGTCAGATGGGATGATGCATGTGAAGCCCACACTTAGCACAGGGCCGGAGACGTGGTGGGGTCTGTAAATGAACAGTAAGGGCTCCTGGAGCAGGCTCTGTCGAGGAACAAGCAGGCAGGGTGCTTATGGGGAGCTGCCTCAGGGATCAGAACCCAGGGAGGGGTAAGGAAGTAGGCGGGGCACAGCGGGAGGCGGCGCTGTAGGGAGGGGGTAAGGAAGCAGGCGGGGCAGAGCGGGAGGCGGCGCTGTAGGGAGGGGTAAGGAAGCAGGCGGGGCAGAGCGGGAGGCGGCGCTGTAGGGAGGGGGTAAGGAAGCAGGCGGGGCAGAGCGGGAGGCGGCGCTGTGATGCAGCCCAGTGATGGCCGCAGCCGACCCTGCGGGGCTCTGGAGCAGAAGTGGTCCTTCAGCGTGGGTCTGTGTTGGGCCAGGAGAGGCTGGGCCTTTATGTCCACCTTAATCATTGGACCTGGGTCACCCTGGGATGTGGCCTTGGATGAGGTCACTCTGCACTAGGACGCCCCTAATTCCCCAGCCACAGGCTGTGACAGTACGTGGGAACTGTCCACCAGGAAGCTCCTCAGAGGCTCAGTGCCCAGGGCTGTTACTGGGGAGCTCATGTGACCCCCTCTGTCTGACATGTATCCGCATTCCAGGTTCCCCAGGAGAAAGAAGGCGTTGCACAGAAACCACAGTGATTGCACAAGCAGTTTAGGCTCAGCGAGCCCCACTCACTTTAGGGGATTCTGGGAGCCCTGCCAGAATCCAGGCTCCCAGACCTTGCCAGGAGAGCCGCCTCAAGCCTGCTGCATTAACCCTTCCTGCACAGCTGGATAGTGACAGAGAGAAAGAGGGAGAGGAAGCTTATTTAAAACTAGGAAGCAGCAGGTCGTGAGAGCCAAGAGTGCGCTTGACCTTGTCGGAACCAGGGCACCAGAGCCGCTCCTCATTGCTGGGAAGTTTGGGGACGATGACCCTGACCTTCCCTGCGGTTATAACCTCGCTCCCTTGTTTGTTCCCCCATAGCTGCACCCACCTCCGCCCTCGCCTGTGACTCGGAACTCCAGAAGCAAAAGTTCTCGCTCAAACTGGTAAGTGACCCTGCAGGTGGGGGGCAGCTTGGAGGGGAGGGACTTTCACAAACACATCCTTGACTTCTGAGCCCCTCGCTGGGAGAGCTCGACTGGGGACCAGGGTCCCCACCTGCAAGGAGCAATGAATCCGTGGGCAGGGCAGGCACCTAGTTGTCCATCATCCCAGGGTGTTAGAAACCGACAGTTGGATCCACCCGAGTCTGGCTCTGATGCTCCCCGGCTGTGTGACCTGGGCAAGCCCATCCCCCTCAGAACTCAGTTTCCTCATCCATGAAATGGAGCCACTGATACCCACAGGGTGTGGCCCACCTGCCCCCTACCACCAGCCTCGCAGTGTGCACATATCAAGCACCTACTGTGTATCACCGTGCTGGGTGTGGGGTCCAACAGAGAACCCATCAGATGGGGTCCTCGTGCTGAGGATTCAGTGAAATCACACATCAGGGGCAAAGCATGAGTTTCAGCTGTCGGACATGTGCGCTCGAGGGTGGGGCCAAAAGGAAACAAAGAGAAAGGGAGAGTGGCCACGAGGGTGAGTCTTGCCTTCCACACAGAGGAGGTGCCTAACAGAAGGGCATCATCATGGTTCATAACCCCGCCATCATCCCTGGGTGCTGGGATTACGGGTGACTTTTATTTTCTTTTTGTTTATCCAAATTGTCTCCCACCCCAGAAAACCAGGGACAGCTGGGTGGGTTGCCCTCCCTCCGCCCTAGATGGAGACCATGAGAGTGGGTCAGAGCATGGGCTGTAGAGCTGGGCTCACTAGTGATGGGTAGCACCTGCTTTGAGAGCCTGGCATGGCCTGAGCCAGGCTGTGTTTCACAAGCACTGCTTCATTGAATCCTCCCAGCGGGGCAGCTACCGTGTCCCATTTAATGCTTCTCTGCGTGGTTCAGGTGTGCCTGGCACAGTACGCACCCCATCAACCTGAGCTGTTCCTGTTATTACTACTGTAATTACGCTCATCATCCTAGAAATACAGCCTTGCTCTCTGTTCGTGCATCTAATCTCATCAGCATTTCCTGAGGCTCAAAACTCGGGGATGAAGAGTTGGCCCCAGGCCCAGCCCTGGAGAAGCTCCCAGTCTGGCGGGGGCCGTGCCATGTCCCAGTCCCATCAGGAAGAGGGATGGACTGGGAGGGGAGCACAGGGCACCCGGCTGACCAAAGAACATTCACCCTCCCATCCACTGGGAAGGCAGCTCTGTTCTGAAGCATTCGAAAGGTCAGGGCTGAATGCCCAGTGGTGTTCATCCATCCATTTATTCATTCATTCACCAAGCCTTTCCTGCAGCCTCCTGTGAACTGAGTGCTGGGGACTTCTGCAGAGATGGGTCAGACCCAATTGCTGCCCTGAAGGAGCTGCCCCCTTGGGAGAGTGGGGCAGGCATGAATACACCACGTGAGATTGCTCAGGGCCTACATGGCTGTGCCCATGTCGCTCGTGTCAGTCACTATGGGCTTCGCCGGCATCGTGGGGAGGACTCCAGGACGCAAAAAGGGAAAAGGAAGGACAAGAAGAGGAGCTGGGGCAGGGAGCTAGGCTCACTAGTGACCAGTAGCAGCACCTGCTTATTGAGAACCTATTATGTGACAGTCCCTGGGCTGAGTGTCACAAGCATCATGTCATTTAATTCTTTTGGGTTTTTGTTTGTTTTGAGACAGAGTCTCTCTCTGTCGCCCAGGCTGGAGTGCAGCAGTGCAATCAAGGCTCACTCAGCCTCGGTCTGCTAGGTTCAAGTGATCCTTCCACTTCAGCCTCCCAAGTAGCTGGGACCACAGGCATGCACCACCACGTCCAGCTGATTTTTTTTTTTTTTTTTTTTTTTTTTTTGATAGAGATGAGGTCTCCCTGTGTTGCCCAGGTTGGTCTGGAACTCCTGGGCTCAAGTGATCCTCCCACCTTCACCTCCGAAAGTGCTGGGATTACAGGGGTGAGCCATCTGTGCCCAGCCAACTCTGTACTCTTAAGAACCCAGCTGCACGAGTTGTGTTTTAATTAAAATATTTGGTGGTGCTGTTGTTTTTGTTTGTTTGTTTGAGACAGAGTCTCACTCTGTCACCCAGGCTGAAGGTACAATCTTGGCTCACTGCAATCTGCACCTCCCAGGTTCAAGCAATTCTCCTGCCTCAGCCTCCCGAGTAACTGGGATTACAGGCACGCACCACCGCGCCTGGCTAATTGTTGTATTTTTAGTGGAGGCAGGGTTTCACCATGTTGGCGAGGCTGATCTAGAACTCCTAACCTCAAGTGATCCATCAGCTGCCTTGGCCTCCCAAAGTGCTGGGATTACAGGCTTGAGCCACCCTACCTGGCCATTGGTGTCATTTTTAACAAATACCCAATATTAATAGTGGCTTAAGCAAGATGATATTTTTATTGCTTTTTCACTTAAAATCAGGGGCAGTTTTCCAGAGCTGATATGATGATTTTATAAACAAGGGGCCCTGTTTCCTTCTGTCTTTTTGCACCAACATTTTCAACGCATAACCTGCATCTCTTGGGCTGTAGTGGCTGCTTCAGCTTCCACCATCACATCTGCATTGCAGGCCGGGCGCGGTGGCTCAAGCCTGTAATCCCAGCACTTTGGGAGGCCAAGACGGGCGGATCACGAGGTCAGGAGATCGAGACCATCCTGGGTAACACAGTGAAACCCCGTCTCTACTAAAAATACAAAAACTTAGCCGGGCGAGGTGGCAGGCGCCTGTAGTCCAGCACTCGGGAGGCTGAGGCAGGAGAATGGCGTGAACCCGGGAGGCGGAGCTTGCAGTGAGCTGAGATCCGGCCACTGCACTCCAGCCTGGGTGACAGAGCGAGACTCCGTCTCAAAAACAAAAACAAACAAACACATCTGCATTGCAGCCAGCTGGAACAGAAGAGGAAAGGAAAGCTCTTTAAGGGCATCACTTGGAAGTTGCCCACGTTTCTTCTGCTCACATCCTCATTGGCCAGAACTTGGTCATGTGGTCGTTCCTCACTGCAAAGGAGGCTGGGAAACGTAGTTTTTAAACTGAACGCCACATTCTAGGAAACACTGTGGCTCTTAGAAAAGAAACCTGGGTACCGGGAGGTAGCTCGCAGTCTCTGATGTGTGTTTGTGTGTAGTACCTGAGGAATCTGGCTCTGATGTGGGGACTCGATGAGGAACCTCATCATCGAGGGAGTAATAAATTGCCAGTGGGAACTGGGGGCCCTTGTCTGAGACTTCAGTGTGACAGCCTTCTGCCTCTCCTGTCCCCCACCAGGATGCCAAGGATGGGCGCTTGTTCAATGAGCAGAACTTCTTCCAGCGGGCCGCCAAGCCTCTGCAAGGTACCTGGCAGGGAACTGGGCAAGGAGGGGAGAGTGAGGGGGACGCCAACGTGGTCACAGCCCCTGGCTTCTACCTGCTGGCGTGAGAAGGGTGGGTTTGGATTATAGGCCCAGGTTTGCTCCCATCTGTGCCCATAACCTGAGTCCTGTCACCCCTCAGGCCTCAGTGTGTGTTGTGGCTGGCTCACACCAGCTCTTGGAAGCCAAGTATTACATTTTCAGGCTGGGTGTGGGTTGACGCCTATAATCCCAGCACTTTGGGAGGCTGAGGTGGGCAGATCACTTGAGCCCGGGGGTTTGAGACCAGCCTGGGCAATATGTCAAAACCTTATCGCTACTGAAAATATAAAAATTAGCCGGGTGTAGTGGCATGCGCCTGTGATTCCAGCTACTCAAGAGGCTGAGGTGGGAGGATTGCTTGAGCTTGGGAGGTGGAGGTTGCAGTGAGCTGTGATTGTGCCACCACACTCCAGCCTGGGCAACAGAGCCAGACCCTGTCTCAAAAAAAAAAAAATTAAATTTTCAGGAAGATGGCAAGCTGGTAGTTACATATAGCTAGTATTAGCAATTAAATTATATAGACCGGGCGTGTTGGCTCACGCCTATAATCCTAGCACTTTGGGAGGCTGAGGTGGGTGGATCACCTGAGATCAGGAGTTCGAGAGCAGCCTGGCCAACGTGGTGAAACCCCATCTCTACTAAAAATACAAAAATTAGCCAGGCGTGGTGGCATGTGCCTGTAATCTCAGCTACATGGGAGGCTGAGGCGGGAGAGTCACTCGAACCTGGGAGGTGGAGGTTGCAGTGAGCTGAGATCATGCCACTTCACTCCAGCCTGGGCGATAGAGTGATACTCAGTCTCAAAAAATATATAAAATAAATAAATTAGATAATCTTACAAATATATTCAAAACAAAAGTAATGAACCCTCAGAAACTCATCACTTTCTAATTATTTCCCTACATGTCCTGTGATCTCTGCCAGTGAGGTTGTGTGCACTGTTGTCTCTGTGTGGAAAGAATGCCGCATGGCGGCTGCCGCTGTGCGTCTCCCCGACCCACCTCCAGTCATGTCATGTTGGTAGCTTGGAGGTGGCCATAGCAGGAGTATTTACACTGCAGAAATTAGCAAATGCAGCCGGGTGTGCTGGCTCACGCCCATAATCCCCACACTTCGGGAGGCCGAGGTGGGTGGATCACCTAAGGTCAGGAGTTGAAGACCAGCCTGGCCAACATGGCAAAACATCTCTACTGAAAATACAAAAAAAGGGCTGAGCGTGGTGGCTCACGCCTGTAATCCCAGCACTTTGGGAGGCCAAAGTGGGCAGATCATGAGATCAGGAGATCGAGACCATCCTGGCCAACATGGTGAAACCCTGTCTCTACTGAAAATACAAAAATTAGTTGGGCGTGGTGGCGCGTGCCTGTGATCCCAGCTACTCAGGAGACTGAGGCAGGAGAATCGCTTGAACCTGGGAGGTGGAGGTTGCTGTGAGCCGAGATCACACCACAGCACTCCAGCCTGGCGACAGAGCAAGACTGCATCTCAAAAAAATAAATAATAAATAAGATTAGCCAGGTCTGGTGGCAGACGCCTGCAATCCCAGGTACTCAGGAGGCTGAGGCAGAAGAATCGTTTAAAACCAGGAGGCAGAGGTTGCAGTAAGCCAAGATTGCGCTGTTGCACTCCAGCCAGGGCAACGTAGTGAAACTTCGTCTTAAAAAAAAGAAGAAAAAAGAAATTAGCAAATGCTACCCATCAGGACTGACTTCCCTGGACAGCCAGCTGTTAAACTAGCGTCAGCTGCCATTGGTTCTGGTCCACCCTGCTGACATCTGGAAGACAGGCAGAGGCACATTCTGGTGATGTCATGGCTAGATTAGACACGTGCTGATCTTGTTAGCTCTATGTGTGAATTCGGAAGTAACCCTGTCATTATCCCATCTCTGCACTCCAGATTTGTATACACTTCCTCCAGAACCACCGTGTTCACCCCATCACCTACAGACCTGGATCACAGACGTTCATGCATCACCCATGCCTGCCCCATCACCAGCCCCTTCCCACAGTCACCCACCCACAATGTTGTCATCTCCGACAAGGAGACTCAGAGGCGGTCTGGGCACTCTGTGCTTCTGCTTGAGAACTGGCTCTTACTGCCATGGGCGTGGGACTGGCTGTGTTCTAACCTCAAGCCCCTGTTTTCCGCAGTCAACAAGTGGAAGAAGCTGTACTCGACCCCGCAACTGGCCGTCCCTACCTGCATGGGTTTCGGTGTTCACCAGGACAAATACAGGTGAGCTGCTCTACTCACCGGTTGCCTCACCGGCCCCTTTCCTCCTCTTCCTGTCGTGAGTCCAGGCACGGCTGGGTCCCCGAAGCTGTGGGCCAGTTCTTCCTACCTTCTCGTAGTTTTGACCCAGTTTGCTGCCCAGCCAGTCAGAACCTTTCATCTCACCTGGGACCAGGACCTTGCAGCCCCCGCCACAGTCCATCCTGGGCAGCCAGTTCTCCTCTCTCCCCTGTTCATCGCCCACCTCCTGGGGTGCTTGTGTCTTCCAGGTTCTTGGTGTTACCCAGCCTGGGGAGGAGCCTTCAGTCGGCCCTGGATGTCAGCCCAGAGCATGTGCTGTCAGAGAGGTCTGTGCTGCAGGTGGCCTGCCGGCTGGTGCGTACCCAGAAGTCGCTGAGCTGCTGCGTCAGGGAGGGCGCGTCAGATCCTAGTTTAGCAGGCTCTTCAGTCATTGACACATCCGGCCCCCACCTCCCTCCGCCGCACACTAGGGGTTGGCTCACTGACATGGCAGGCGGTTAGAGCCGGGATGTTGGGGGGTCAGTCCTGTGGAGGGCCCTTGGGGGGCCATGAGCATTGGAGGAAGGAGCCCCTCCAATGCTCAAACTGAAGGCTTAGATTAGGCTTCCTGGTGGAGGGTGTTTCTAAGCCAAGACTCAGGATGAGTGGAAATAGCGAGGTGCTGGGTGGAAGAGGCAGAGGATAGATGAGAGGATGGTTCGGCCAAGGATACAGCTAGAGCAAGGCTTATGTGGAATAGAGAGCATATGGCATTTGTTCATTAATTCATTCATTCATCCTCATTAAATATTCATCAGGCACTTGCTGGGTGCCAGACGCTGTCCCCAGGGCTGGGTGCAGAGCAGGGAGCAGCACAAACATGGTTTCTGTGTCTTGGAGCTCACAGTCTAGTGGGAGGGGCCAACAGTAAATCAAACAGTTGCACGAACTATGACGAGTGCTCTGAGTAGAAGTGGCCCGTGCTGTGATGGAGAATAAGAGGGCCCAGTTTGCATGGCTGGAGGGATGGACATAACCAAGGGAGCGACATGCTGAGTCCTAAGGTCTTTATGTTCAGTATCTGCACTATGGCCCTGCAGTGGGGAGAGATGGAGTTGGTGTGGACAGGCCAGCAATGACCACATCACAAAGGGCCTCGCACAGCAGGCTGAGGGGGCTGGGATCTGTCTTGAGGGCACTGGAGAGCCACAAGAGTGCTGGGATTAGGGGAGGGCAGGGTCAGCTCTGGGTACAGAAAGGCCCTCAGGGGCCATGTGGGGAGGGACTGGAATGGGGAGAAGAATCTGAGTGAGGGTCCATTTGGAGAGGACAAGGCTGAGGAGGGTCCCAGGCCCTGGGGATGGAGAGTCTATAGAAGGAGAACGAGCAGAACTTTGGCCCTGGGGTCAAAGAGTGTTGGGGATATGATCGGAATGTAGCTGATACTCGGGCAGCAGACACAGTTGAAGAGTTGGCCTGGTGCAGCAGCTCACGCTGGTAATCCCAGCACTTTGGGAGGACGAGGCAGGTGGATCACTTGAGCTCAGGAGTTCAAGACCAGCCTGGGCAACATGGCAAAATGCCCTCTCTAATAAAACTAGAAAAAATTAGCCAGGTGTGGTGGTGCGCACCTGTAGTCCCAGTTACTTGTGAGGCTGAGGTGGGAGGATCACCTGAGCTTGGGAAATCAAGGCTACAGTGAGCAGTGATTGCACCACTGCACTACAGCCTGGGCAACAGGAGTGAGACCCTGTCTCAAAAATATGTATATATACACACACCAAAAAAAAGTCTGGAGCTCAGTGGGACAGCTGGAGCTGGAGATCAAGATATAAATTGCTTAACAAGGTTGATTTCTGCTCTCTAGGACAGGTGAGAAGAGCTCTTTTGATATTCACAGGTGCTGAGTCATTTTTGCAGACAGACATTAACCCCTTCTCCCTCTCCTGAGTTTGCCATCAGCTAAGAGAGAAATATAGGAAGCCACGCATTAGCTCAACTGGTGAGCTCCCTGACAGCCTGATTAGAGGCATGCTTAATGTGCTATCACAGCGGGCTCCTCATGCTGCCCCAGATTTAGTCAGGTTTAACCCCCAGTCACAGTGCCAGACGACCCCAGGCCTTAATAGTGGGGCTCCCTGCCCCAGTCTGCACCAGAGGCTGTGTTAGTCTTACTGCTTGTGCAGACACTGGCTTGCTTCTTCCCCCAGCTGGATGCCCTGGAGTTCCTCCATGAGAATGAGTATGTTCATGGAAATGTGACAGCTGAAAATATCTTTGTGGATCCAGAGGACCGGAGTCAGGTAAGAGCCAGCTCCTGCCTACTCCAGAAGATCTCTGGGCTCAGGTTCCCATCTGTCTCCAAACCTCTATTTATTTCACAGTGCTTTATTACAGACAAAGGATTGTTGTCCATCATATATAAAGAGCTCCTTCAAATAAATAAGAAGAAACTTAGTAGGAAAATGGGCAAAGGATAAGAAAAGCAATTCTTAAAAAACGAAATCACAGGCTAACTAAATAATATGAAAAGGTGTGGCCAGGCACGGTGGGTCATGCCTGTAATCCCAGCACTTTGGGAGGCCGAGGCAGGCGGATCACGAGGTCAGGAGATCGAGACCATCCTGGCTAACACGGTGAAACCCCATCTGTACTAAAAATACAAAAAATTAGCCAGGCATCGTGGTGGGCGCCTATAGTCCCAGCTACTCAGGAGGCTGAGGCAGGAGAATGGCGTGAACCCGGGAGGCGAAGGTTGCAGTGAGCTGAGATCGCACCACTGCACTCCAGCTTGGGCGACACAGCGAGACTCTGTCTCAAAAAAAAAAAAAAAGAAAAGGAAAGATATTCAACCTCCTTAGTAATCATAGAGATGTAACTTAAAACAAGATGCTATTTTTACCCTCTGAACAAAATTAAGAATGATTTTGAACTTGAATGATTAAGAATTAAGAACAAAATTAAGATTTGAAGCCAGCTCTCCTGTCTCTGGGCTCGTGCTTCTCACTGCTCGTTGTCAGGCAGACTTGTTCCTCCTGGTGAGAAAATCGCCACCAGCAGATTAGGCTTAAATCCCCAAAGCTCAGCAGCCCCGGCAGAAACAGACCTGAACTGCGTGGACTGAGAAGTCGGGGGAGACTATCCCAGATGAAAATCCTGGAACTAAGCATTAGGAATCTTCAGAGAAACAGAACTGGCAGGGTGTGCGTGTGTCTGTCTGTGTGTGTGTGTGTGTGTAGAGATTTATTACAAGGAATTGGCTCATTGATAATGGAAGCTGGCCGGGCGCGGTGGCTCAAGCCTGTAATCCCAGCACTTTGGGAGGCCGAGACGGGCGGATCATGAGGTCAGGAGATCGAGACCATCCTGGCTAACACGGTGAAACCCCGTCTCTACTAAAAAAAATACAAAAAAACTAGCCGGGCACAGTGGTGGGTGCCTGTAGTCCCAGCTACTCAGGAGGCTGAGGCAGGAGAATGGCGTAAACCTAGGAGGCAGAGCTTGCAGTGAGCTGAGATCGCGCCACTGTACTCCAGCCTGGGCGGCAGAGCGAGATTCCGTCTCAAAAAAAAAAAAAAAAAAAAAGATAATGGAAGCTAAGCAGTCCTGAGATCTTCAGTTTGCAATCTGGAGACCTAGGAGAGCCAATGATGTGAGTTTCAGTTTAAAGGCTAGCAGGCTTGAGACCCAGAAAGAGGGGTTGTTTCAGTTCCAGTCCAAAGACAAGAAAAGACCAATGTTCTAGCTCAAGCAGTCAGGGAAGAGGAGCTTCTGGTTACTTAGCTTTTTATTCTGTTCACATCTTGAGTTGATCGAATGAGACCCACCCACATTAGGGAGAATAATCTGCCTTAGTCTACAAACCCCAATGTTTGTCTCTTTCACAACACCCTCATAGACACTCCCAGAATAGGGTTTGGCCAAATGTCTGGGCACCCCATGGCCCAGTCAAGTTGCCACATAAAAATGGCCATCCTGGCCAGGTCCCGTGTCTCACGCCTCTAATTCCAGCACTTTGGGAGGCCAAAGTGGGAGGATCGTTTGAGCCCAGGAGTTCGAGACCAGCCTGGGAAACATAGGGAACCTTGTCTCTACAAAATAAAAAATAATAACCTATCCAGGTGTAGTGGCACACACCTGTGGTTCCAGCTACTTGGGAAGCTGAGGTAGAAGGATCACCTGAGCCCAGGAGATTGAGGCTGCAGTGAACCATGATCGTGCCACTGCACTCCAACCTGCGTGACCAAGCGAGACCCTGTCTCAAAACTTAGAAATATATATATATATATACATAAATGAACACCACAAACTGAACAGAAAAACAGGGAGCAGGGGAAGTGTATAGGTCTTACATAGACAAAACCAACAGTTCTCCACTATCCATATGGTGGAATAAGATACAGCCATTGAAAAGAAGACATGGGGCCGGGCGCGGTGGCTCAAGCCTGTAATCCTAGCACTTTGGGAGGCCGAGACAGGTGGATCATGAGGTCAGGAGATCAAGACCATCCTGGCTAACACGGTGAAACCCCGTCTCTACTAAAAAATACAAAAAAAACTAGCCGGGTGAGGTGGCGGGCGCCTGTAGTCCCAGCTACTCGGGAGGCTGAGGCAGGAGAATGGCGTGGACCCGGGAGGCGGAGCTTGCAGTGAGCTGAGATCCGGCCACTGTACTCCAGCCTGGGAGACAGAGCAAGACTCCGTCTCAAAAAAAAAAAGACATGAACTGGGTACAGTGGCTCACACCTGTAATCCCAGTGCTTTGGGAGGCCAAGGCAGGAGGATCACTTGAGCCCAGGGTTTCAAGACCAGCCTGGGCAACAGGGCAAAACCCCATCTTTACAAAAAATACAAAAAATCAGCTGGGCATGTGGCGCATGCCTGTAGTCCCAGCTACTCGGGAGGCTGAGGTGGGAGGATCACTGGAGCCTAGGAGGCTACAGTGAGCCGTGATCGCGCCACTGCACTCCAACCTGGGTGACAGAGTGAAACCCCATCTCGAAATAAATAAATATTTTTGAAAGAAGATTTAGTCAACTTTGTGTATCAGGCAGAAAGCATTTAACTTTTGTTTTAAACTTAGTTAAGCCTCGTAAGAACCCTTTGAGGTGGGGACTATTATCATTTTACAAATGAGAAATCATAGCAGGGAGTAGTATAGCTTGCCCAAGGTTGTACCGCCACCAGCGGGCTGAGCTGGCATTTGAACCCAGGCCATCTGGCCCCAGAGTTAATGCCCAGAACCGCTGTTAAAGTGTTAAGTGCTGGTGTCTAACAGGTCTGGTGTGAGGCCTCTGGAAAACAAGAGCCCCTCCCCATCCATATATGTTACCTGGTTATTAAAAAAAAATGTGGAATGGTGCATAAGAAACTGTTACTAGTGGTTATTTCTGAGCAGTGGGTTTTAGGGGCTGGGAGGAAATATGATGGCTGGTTGGGGTTTTTTTTACTTCACATCATTTTTGCTATGAGCATGGCTTAGTTTTATAAGTGAAAAATGTCATCTTTGATGGAATGGTTGTTTTCAGTTGTGCTCCTCACCTCCAATCTGTATGGCTTCTCCCTGTGTCCACAGGTGACCTTGGCAGGCTATGGCTTCGCCTTCCGCTATTGCCCGAGTGGCAAACATGTGGCCTACGTGGAAGGCAGCAGGAGCCCTCACGAGGGGGACCTTGAGTTCATTAGCATGGACCTGCACAAGGGATGCGGTACGAGGCCAGGGAAGGGTTTGGGACCATGGAGACATGCTTCTCATACAAGGGCAGCTCTAGGAGTTCACAGCCAGAGACAGCAGGTGGCCACACAGGACAGGCACTAAGGGCGCCAGGACGGATCAGGACCACAGACAGCGTCCTGACCACTGTGGGGGGTGGGGGGTGGGGGTTGGTTAGCGGTTCAGCACCAAGGACAGTGGGAGGCTGGGCACTGGGGAGCCCTGAGTTCCAGAGGTTGGGATTCAGGATCTGGCGTAGACTTGAAAGATGGGAGTTGCCTAGGAGTCATCCAGGAGGGGCTGTTTGAGGAGGTGGTTGGCCACCACGTCTGGAATGTGGGAGGGAAATCTGGGCAGAGGCTCTGCAGTATCTCGGGAGTTTATCAGCCGAAGCCCTGGGAGAAGATGGGATCATCCAGGGAAAGTGTAGAGAGTGGGAAGAGGGCCCGGGGCAGATTTCTTGAGCCCCTCTTTCTCACATCCCTTTATATCATGGCCATCCACATGCTTGCCACGTCCTCCCACCAGACTGAGCTCCTCCAGGGCAGGGAAGGTACCCCTGCCCCCAGCATCGGGTGGTGGAAGGCCAGCACGGACAACAAGTAGTGCTTGTCGAGTGCTTACACAAAGCGTTGTCTAAATTAAGCATTGTCTTATGCTCAGGAAGCTAAGGAAAATACACCATCTGGGTCTCCCGGCACTTCCCCACTGAAGCTGGGATTGGTACCCATCCTCCTGGGCTCCCATGTGTTCTGTGTCCTTTGTCACTCAGGTAGTCCCACACCATAGCTGTCTCCCAACAAGGCTGTCATGGGCTGGGACCCGATAAGATCCCAGTCTGAGTTTTCAGAAATCAGCTGAGCCCAGCACACGGATGCTGAGGATTGAATGAGTGCATGAATGAGAGAAGAGTGGATGAGGGTGACCTGAAGAAAGAGGCTGAGGGGATGGTTGAGTGAAAGTAAGTCAGAATGAGAATAAGAGTCAGCTTCTGCCTACTCATGAAAGTGAATGAGCAGAGGAGACAGCCCATATGGCTGGAATGCTGAGTGCATGAGCGCGTGGTTGAGTCAGTGAGAAAGGGGAAGGAAGGGGGTGGACGCACTGGTGAATGGAGCATCCAGACTGAGGTGCCACCTCTACCCTTCCCTTCCCAGGGCCCTCCCGCCGCAGCGACCTCCAGAGCCTGGGCTACTGCATGCTGAAGTGGCTCTACGGGTTTCTGCCATGGACAAACTGCCTTCCTAACACTGAGGACATCATGAAGCAAAAACAGAAGTGAGTCGGGGGGTCAGCAGAACCCCTGCAGGTGGGCAGAAGCCCAGAGCCCAGCTGGGGGCAGGCGGGAAGGGGAAGTGTCATCTAGCAGAGCCCAAGTCCTCTGAGCTGCACAGACATGTGCTGCACTGTCCACGAAGCAGGCGAGGCAGGGGTTCCGGAGCCACGCTGCCTGGGCTTGGACTCTGGCCCCACCACTGTGGGGTGTTAACGTCTGCAAGCCTCATTATCCTTCTCCATGAGATGGTCTTCTACTAGCGCCCACCTTACGGGACTGCACAAGGGTTCAGGGAAGTCAGGTATACACAGCACTTAGCACAGGGCCTGGCTCGTAGAAAATGCTCATCATGTGTGGGGCACCGTGACTCATTCATTACAAACACGCAGGCAACCTGAGCAGGACAGGCCCAGGCCCTGTCTCAGCACTGGTAGCACCCCCCATCCAGTGTTCACACCACCAGATCAGTGCCTTCACCTCTGTGTGTAAACCACCAGGTCTTACCATTGCTGGTTTAAACATTCAGCACCAAAGCCAGTGGACAGCGGAACATATGGGGAAGTTCTGGGGTGAGACTGAACACTAAGGGCATTGAGCAGCTGGACACAGGGAGCTCTAGGGATATGGGTTCAGCACTAGGGACAGCAGGCAGCTGGGCGTAAAAGGGAGGCACTGGGGTGTGTGTTCAGCACCAAGGACAGCAGGCGGCGGTACACAAAAGGGAAGTGCTAGGGATGTGGGTTCAGCACCAGGGACAGTGGGCCGCTGGGCGCAAAATGGAAGCGCGGGGGTTGTGGGTTCAGCACCAAGGACAGTAGGCAGCTGGTCCTAGCTGGCGTGCTAGGCGTGCACTTCAGACAAGAATAAGAGTTACCCAGGCCAGGCACGGTGGTTCATGTCTTAATCCCAGCACTTTGGGAGGCCAAGGTGGGTGGATCGCGAGGTCAGGAGTTTGAGACCAGCCTGGTCAACATGGTGAAACCCTGTCTCTACTGAAAATACAAAAATTAGCCTGACGCAGTGGCAGGTACCTGTAATCCCAGCTGCTTGGGAGGCTGAGGCAGGAGAATTGCTTGAACCTGGGAGGTGGAGGTTGCAGTGAGCTGAGATCACGCCACTGCATTCCATCCTGGGTGATAGAGCAAGACTCCGTCTCGGACTTGTTGCCCGAGTCATCTGGGAGGCAGCTGACCATCTCCGTCTGAAGTGCAGGAGTGAAGTCTAGAGGGAGACTCAGATCCCGGGAATATCTCAGGAGCTGTCAACTGAAGCTCCAGGAGAGGATGAGATTATCTAGGAAATCATATAGAGTGGGAAGAGGGTGAACCCTCCAGTGAATGGCATTGAGTCCCTCCTACTTCCCTGTCCTTAGTGTGCTGTGAATTCCTTCCTAGTCCTTCCCTCACATAAAGCCTTTCTCATTTTATTTTACTCCCTTCGTATCTCCCAACTTCTTTCCCTCAATCATGGACAGCTGCTCAAGCACGCTTAACATGTGTTCTGCTGACGTGTTCACTTAGATGTATTTATACCCTCAAAATCGCGTGCTGGCCGTGGTCCTGTGTGTGATTTGCGTAAGTGATATTCCGCTCTGCATCTTATGTGTCTCTGGCTCTCTTCAAATTTAACCCTACCCCTACATGTGGATCGAGTTCACTGCTCCTGACTGCTGCTTCTAAATCAATTTTCTATAGACATGTCTGTGTTCTTAAACTATATATGGTGGTACTGTGTGTTTAATTTGTATAAATAGTACTATGCTCTAAACCTCATGCTGTTTCTTGCCTTCTTTCACTCAATGTTATGTTTTTAACTTTAGCTATACAACTAGTTCACTACTTCCGAATGCTCCTAAATGTGTTAGTTTAGATGCATCTGTGTCCTTAAAAACTCTGTGACGTTCTTGGGTGCGTGTTTAATTGGCGTATGTGGCACCATGCCCAGAATTTCATCCTCCTTCAGACGAGGGGATGTGTCTCGTCATTTTGACTTCCTCCTACTGACTGTTCAAAGCTAACATTTATTATACACTTGTCTGTGCCAGGCATTGCCCCTGGTGCTTCCCCTGCATCCTCACAACTGTTCTGAGCTGTGTACTCTCATGATCTGTGGCACAGAGAGCTTAGGTAATCAGCCCAGGCCACACAGCTACTCAGCAGGGGCTCCTGGACTCAAACCCAGGCCATTCAACTCCACAGACAGCCCCTGTCACCTACATGCTGCTTTCCAAGTGGAGGAGGCTTATGAGGTGAACTGGTGGTGCCTGGGCCCAGCCTACCTTCACTCAACAAATACTGAACCCCTGCCATGTGCTAGGCTCTGTTCTAGGCCCTAGGGATACAGGAGTGAGTAAGACAAAAATCCCTGCCCTCAGGGAGCTCACATCCTGTTGGGGGAGATAGGAGCTAAAGGGTGAAACACACGGTGTGTCAGAGGTCAGACTGATGGGGATCCTGGGGCCAGGTCCTGGGTGTCCACTGGTGGGACTGTTGGTGGGGGTGTGCAGCACACTTTTAGGTCTGATGTCGGGGGCAGGTCTCACAGCGATGGTAACAGGTAAATTGCCCCCTGAAGGACCATGAAGCTTTAAACAGTGGCAAGAAGGATATCACACACAGTTTGGTGCTAATTTGCCCCAACATCCCTGCAGAAAGAGGGAGGGACAGAGAGGCCTTCAGCCCCCAGACTTCTGCAGGCAACCTCTGCATGGGAAGCCAGCCTCAGAACCCGCTAGACAGGTCCATTGCCCCATTTTCTTGGAGCTTGTTTTCACACTTACTCCCTAGCTTTAACACATGCTGCTGGGGTTTTCTGCTCACACTAGTGAGACAAAGGTGTCTTTTGAAATGAAGCCAGGTGAAAACAATGAGTCACAGAATGAGCAGCCCGCTGGAGTCCCCGTGTGAGTGAAGGTAGTGAAATGCTCCCTCACACACTCTGATGGGTTAGCTCAGGACAAGGCTGAGCTGCTCTCACGAGGAGACCCCAAAACACTGCAGCTTCCATGAGGGAGGGTTCACATCTCTAACTGACAGTCCCAAGACAGGAGACTGAGGGCAGTAGTAGTGCCTCAATTCCCTGTGACACACACACATCCTCCTCTGGATGCAACAGAGAGCACACATTGTGGGTGCCCAAGAAATAGGGGCGGATCTGGCACAGTGGCTCATGCCTTCTAGCACTTGGGAAGCTTAGGCGGGCAGATTGCTTGAGCCCAGAAGTTTGAGACCAGCCTGGACAACATGATGAGACTCCATCTCTACAAAAACTGTAGCCGGGTGTGGTAGCACATGCCTGGAGTCCCAGCTACTCAGGATGCTGAGGTGGAAGGAGCACTTGAGTCCAAGGAGGTGGAGGCTGCAGTGAGCTGTGATTGTGTCGCTGCGCTCCAACCTGGGCAACAGAGTGAGAGACCCTGTCTCAAAATAAAAGAAAAATCGTAGTGGAATGAAGAACAACTAAGGAGTGAATGCTGAGCCCGCCCAGGCTTCATTGTGGACACAGAGGTCAGGCAGACGCAGGCCCAGTGTCGGGGGTTCCAGGGCTGGGGGGAGACATGGACAGGAAGCAGGAGCTGCAGGTGAGGGTGGAGGTAGCCCGGCACTGTGGGAGCAGAGGGGAGGCACAGGACCCCGCCGCCGGCTCCTGGAAACCCTCACCTGGGAGATGCCTGACCTGGTCTGTAGGGAACACAAGAGCCTCCCAGGTGGGCAAGGGGGAGGCAGGATTCCTAGGCAGACAGGACAGCACGTCTCTGCACCCTCTCCACTCATGCATTTAGTGCCAGGTTCCTGAGGCCAGTGGCTGTGCTGGACACCCAGGTGAGAATCAGCCCACGGTGCCTCTGCACTCCGATCTTGTCAGGGAAGCCGGTCCCCGAGGCTCCCCTGGGTTGAGTCTTCTCCCCACTCCCCTTCCTAACTCCTAAGAGCAGTCACGTCACCCTTTTCACATCCCCTCACCTAAAGAGACTTGATGAAAGTGACGGGTTCACAGAGAGGGCCTGCACTCGTCGACATGGTGCAGGGTGAATAAGCGGTCACAGTAATCATCTTGTATCAATGATAGCAGCATGGATAACAGTAATTCCACAGCCCCTGCTCCAGACCACAACCGTAGAGGGCCAGGCGCACGAAAATGCTCCCTGGAGAGTAGCTGGTGATGTTGACACTGTCCCCCAGACACCCCTCCTCACCCCCAGCCCAGCGTCTCTTAGCCCAGACCGTAGCCAAGGGGACCACAGGGGGGCGATGTTGCTACATGCTCGTTTCCTGGCACCCTAAGGTGCCCTGCGCTAGGACGTTTTACTGGTATACGTGGCCTTTTTCCATTCATTCAACAGATACTCACTTTTTGCACATTATAGTTCACGACAGGCAGCATGAGTAAAAGAAGGAGGAGAGGCAGTTTGAGTCCCTGAGGCTGTCTGGCATTCAAGGCCCATTGCTGGGCAAAGCACAAATGACAGCCAGCTTTGGACCCGCTCTCAGGGCTCCCCAGCTGGTCAGGGAGAGCCCACGGCAGGGGGTGGCAGTGGCGTTGCTGTGCAGCGTGTAACGTCCTGTCGATGGCACAACCGGGCCTTCCTGCGCTTGTATGTCGATGGCTGCCATGGGACATCCGCGAACCCACACACAGGCCCAGGAGGGACGGAGTTCCTCTGCCTGGAGGGATCTGGGGAAGACTTCCTAGGAGGCCAGACCCTCGAGCTGTATCTCAAAGGGAGAACAGCCACCTGCCAGAGTTCAGGGTGGGGAAGGCCGCCCAGGCAGCGAGAGTGATGTGTGCAGAGGCAGATGTGTGTGGATGTGTGGCCTGGTGGGACGAGGAGTCCTTTGGTGTGGATGGGACATGCGATGGGAGAAGGGAGTGGAGAGATGGAGCTAGAGGGTGGCCAGTGTGTGCTGGGGAGCCACGGGAGGCAGGGTGGGCTGTGAGCAGGGAGGGTCAGGGACAGGTGTAAAGAGACCCTCTGGGGCCACGTGGGGATGCACAGGAGGCCAGGGAGGAGTTGAGGTCCAGGGAAAAGGGATGAGGCCTGAGCTGGGCCCAGATCCATGGGGCAGAGGGATTTGAGGAGCAGGAGGGTGGGGCTGGGGGATAAAGCAAAGGCAGTGGGTAAATCAGGATTTTTCCTGAACAGCCAAAAAGGGGTGCACGTGCATGCACGTGTGTGTTATACATATATGTGTATGTGTGTGTATGTACATATACAGTTAGTCCTGATTATTCAGAGTCCATATGTGTGAATTCTCCTACTCACTAAAAGTATTTGTAACCCCAAATCAATTCTTGCAGTTCTTTCGTGGCCACTTGCGGGCACATAGTGTGGAGAAAAATTTTAATCACCTGACACACATGTTCCCAGCCTAGGGAGGAGCCAGATAGCATACTGCCTCCCCGTTTCAGCGCCTACACTATATACGCCAGTGTCGTTCAGTTAATGCTACATTTTTTCCTGTTTTTATGCTTTTTGTCAGTGATTATGCCATTTAAAATGGCCTCAGCCAGGCGTGGTGGTTCACACCTGTAATCCCAGCACTTTGGGAGGCTAAGACAGGAGGATCAGAGCAGCCTGGGCAACATAGTGAGAACCCGTCTCTACAAAAAATCAAACAGCCACCTAGCATAATGCTGAAGTGTTGTCTGATGTCCCGAAGCCTGAGATGGTTAATAATTCGTGCGTTGTATCAGCTTTGTTCAGGCATGAGCTACGGTGCTGTTGGCCGTGAGTTTGTGGGGAATTCTTATCATTTCAGGTTGCCTTGGCATTCATTTGAATGTAAGTTGGACTTTCTCATGCCAGAAGCAGGGCTCGGTCACCCTCAGCACAGTTTCCAGTTTTCCACCTCCTCCCAGTTCCTCCGTGTGGTTGACCCAGATATTTCCCTTATGCAGCCGCCTCTGGGGGAACACTTCCCTCCCTATGGGTCAGCCACAGACAGCCTACTTGACGGCCCCGCTGACCACATCCCACTGAACTGTGCAGATGCCACAGTGACCCCCTCTCAGGCACAGCGTGACCTCCAGGAACTCGAGCCTGCTTGCTTTGAACCCACCAGTTAAAATCCCCTCAAAATGTTTGGATACCACCCATTGGCCCCTCATGCAACCACGAGCTCCCTTACCTCTGTGTGTGTGTGTCTGTGTGTGTGTGTGTGTGCGTGGGACGGGGGGAGGTCACCTTTGGGTGTGTCATGTGCCCCCAGGACCTGTAAGTAATAAAATCTTTATTTTCATCTTGGATCTTTCCTCATCGTCGAAAGAATCCTCTCCATCTTAAAGATCCCAGGTTAAAACAGAGTTCAGTGCTAATGAATCAACAATGCTTATTACATAAGATGTCTTTCAAAAGAAACATACATAAAACAAGGTGTATTGATTGGGGAAAATGATATGGCCGGAGGCTTGCAGGAGGCCACTGCTGTTTCCCCTGGGAGCAATGGTAGTGGGTTGGTTGATTCAGTGTTCACAGTGGCTTTAAGAACTTAACTTCCCTGGATGGCAGAGGGGACTGTGTATATATCTTAGGCTGTGTATATATCTTAGGCATTCTGTTTTAAAAGGTTGCTCTCCTTTCCCTTTCACATGTGCTTCTGTCCCTTCAGGTTTACTGATAAGACCTTTCACATGTGCTTCTGTCCCTTCAGGTTTACTGATAAGCCGGGGCCCTTTGTGGGACCCTGCGGTCATTGGATCAGACCCTCAGGTATGTCCTGAAGGGAGCGGGAACAGGCAGGGACCTGGGCGGGACCTGGTGGCTCAGATCCATCTTGAGGTGGCCTCTCCTTATACCTCTTCCTTTTTTTTAGTTTTCCAAATTGCATTTGTAATATGTACCCATTGTAGAAAGACAAAAATTGTCAAAACATTCACAAGTGCCTGTGAACAACAACAAAACAAAAACACACAAGTGTTTTTTGAGGACAGAGTAATTTTTTTTTTTTTTAAGAGAGGGTCTAGCTCTGTCGCCCAGGCTGGAGTGCAGTGGTGCGATCTCGGCTCACTGCAATCTCCGCCTCCCAGGTTCAAGCAATTCTCGTGCCTCAGCCTCCCAAGTAGCTGGGATTACAGGCATGCATCCCCATACCTGGCTAGTTTTTTGTATTTTTAGTAGAGACGGGGTTTCACCGTGTTGCCCAGGCTGGTCTCGAACCCCTGGCCTCAACTGATCTACCACCTCGGCCTCCCAAAGTGCTGGGATTACAGGCATGAGCCACCATGCACAGCCATTTTTATGAACAAAAAATGGGCTCACCCTACATACATCTCATTCTACCTCTTGCTTTTTTCCCTTAACCCTGGGGCCGTCCTTCATGCCCTTCCTTTATAGATGCACCACAGGTTTTATTGACAGCTGCACGGTAGCCATGGTTTGGCCGCACCATAGCTTATAAAGCCAGTCCCTGTCACTCGTCCCTGTCCCTGGGTATTTGCACTGTCTCGTTTGGGTGTGGGGGTGTTTGTTGCTGCTGTTGTCTTTGTGCCCCTCCTGAACAGCTTTGATGCTTTTCTCTAAGCTGGAGGCAGAAATGGACAGACAGAAATGGATAGCGTGTCCCCTCTGGCTCTCTAAGGCACATTTTTGAATTACTTTAAATCCCTGGGTTCAGATCATGGCTCAGCTGCCAAGCACTCCCCTCCAGTTCTCCCTCTGTAAACCTTGGGCCTCAAGGATGTTTAAGCTGGTCCACCAGAGGTTGGAGGTGGAGCTGAGGCAGGGCCCGCCTCTTTAAAGACACATGCTCAATATTTATGTGCAGGGAGACTGCACCGCTAGCTGGGATCTGCACTGAAACACTGCGGGCCAGGGGAGGGGTCTTGATGAAACGCGATTGGCTGTGAGGTGATCATTGTGGAAACTGAGTGATGGATACTTGGGTGTTCATGCCCTTCTCCAGGTGCCTGTGTATGACATTTTCCAAAACTGAAAAAAAAATGGAAGTCCCCTGGCAATGCCAGGCACCAAGCAAATGGGCACTTTTGCTGAGACCCTCGTGCCTGTCAGTCCCCTACCCCCCACCCTTGGGCACCGACCCCCAGGATCGAGGTTGGGGGACGCCTCTCAGGCTCTCCCTTGCTGGGGGTTGTCTTGACCACAGAGACCCTGCAGAATTACCTGAAGGTGGTGATGGCCCTCAAGTACGAGGAGAAGCCGCCCTACGCCGTGCTGAGGAACAACCTAGAAGCTCTGCTGCAGGATCTGCGTGTGTCCCCATATGACCCCATTGGCCTCCCGATGGTGCCCTAGGTGGAATCCAGGTGGGAAGAGCTTGTGAGTCTTCAGCCCTCTCACCCCTTGCCCTCGACCCAGCCCTGCCCCAGGCTCCAGGGGACACTTCCCAGAGGCTGTCCCACGTTCATATCAGGGCCCAGCTTCCCAGGGAGATGCTGGGGTTTTCCACAGAGTCCTTGAACTTCCCAACCTCCAGGAATGGCAAGTAGCAGAAACCCGGCTCAACTTGGCTTTAAGAAAAGGGGGTTGAGGCCGGGCGCGGTGGCTCACGCCTGTAATCCCAGCACTTTGGGAGGCCGAGGCGGGCGGATCACAAGGTCAGGAGATCGAGACCACGGTGAAACCCCGTCTCTACTAAAAATACAAAAAAATTAGCCGGGCGCGGTGGCGGGCGCCTGTGGTCCCAGCTACTCAGGAGGCTGAGGCAGGAGAATGGCGGGAACCCGGGAGGCGGAGCTTGCAGTGAGCCGAGATCGCGCCACTGCACTCCAGCCTGGGCAACAGCGTGAGACTCCGTCTCAAAAAAAAAAAAAAATAAATAAATAAATAAAAAAATAAAAAAAAAATACAAAAAATTAGCCGGGCGCGGTTGTGGGCGCCTGTAGTCCCAGCTACTCGGGAGGCTGAGGCAGGAGAATGGCGTGAACCCGGGAGGCGGAGCTTGCAGTGAGCCGAGATCGCGCCACTGCACTCCAGCCTGGGCGACAGAGCGAGACTCCGTCTCAAAAAACAAAAAAAACAAAAAAACAAAAAAAAGAAAAGGGGGTTGAGGCCGGGCACAGTGGCTCACGCCTGTAATCCCAGCACTTTGGGAGGCCGAGGCAGACGGACAATGAGGTCAGGGGATTGAGACCATCCTGGCTAACACGGTGAAACCCCGACTCTACTAAAATACAAGAGAAATTAGCCGGGCGTGGTGGTGGGCGCCTATAGTCCCAGCTCCTCGGGAGGCTGAGGCGGGAGAATGGTGTGAACCCGGGAGGCGGAGCTTGCAGTGAGCCGAGATGGCACCACTGCACTCCAGCCTGGGTGACAGAGTGAGACTCCATCTCAAAAAAAAAAAAAGAAAGAAAGAAAAGAAAAGTGGGGTTGATTGGCTGTTGTAGCTAGAAAAGTCTAAGGGGGAGCTTCAGGCACAACAGGATTCAGAGCCTCAAAAATAGCATCAAGACGTTTTCTGTCTCTTGCCATCTTCTGTCCCTTCTTGCATCCCTGCCTCCCTGTGTCCTTCCACCCAGCCACCTGTAGTCTCTACTTTCCTTTGGCCTGGCCCCCTTGGCTCCCCATACACAAAAGGTAGCTGCTCCATGCCTTCAGGTCTTGTTCATAGCGCGCACTCCTCCATCGTGTGGATGACGGACACTCCTCACAGCCAGCAGCTGGGCATTTGCTTAGTTTCCCAGATTTTTCTTTTACAAGCAGTGCTGCCTGTGTGCACAGCCCGGCTGCTGGTGCGCGCTGTCTGTGGATGGAGGTGTCAACTTGACAGTGAGGAAGTGAGGACTAGATGGCTTTACTTCCGTCAGCACTGTGTGTAAATGTGCAGGCATGTTTGCAAGGTCGAAGACAAACTTCACAGTAAATTTTGGCAAGGGTGCAGGGATGTGTGCTGAAGAGAGGTTTCTTCAGGCTCCCTCTCTGTCCCCGGAGTCGTCATTTCTCTCATCAGGGTTGGCTGGAACCAAAGCTCAGCGCTTTGTCTAACTCGGCACCACCCTGGGGGCATTTGGCCGTGTCTGGAGATACTTGGTTATCAGGATGCAGGACGGTGGAGGCTGGGAGGCTGCCTGGCATCCTGCAACACGCAGCATCGTCCCCACCTCTACCCGCCCCCCACAAAGAATCCCCCGGCCCCAGTGGTCACCAGTGCCGCGATTGCGAGATCCTGGTCCAGGGGAGTCTTGAATAGCGTCTCCTTTTGGCGGCCTGTCTCCCTGTGCAGTGACCTCTTCTTGGCATTTGGATTACAAGTGCTGCTTTTTTTTTTTTTTTTTTTGGAGACGGAGTCTCGCTCTGTCGCCCAGGCTGGAGTGCAGTGGCGCGACCTCCGCTCACTGCAAGCTTCGCCTCCTGGGTTCACGCCATTCTCCTGCCTCAGCCTCCCGAGTAGCTGGGACTACAGGCGCCCACTACCGCGCCCGGCTAATTTTTTGTATTTTTAGTAGAGACAGGGTTTCACCGTGGTCTCGATCACCTGACCTTGTGATCCGCCCGCCTCGGCCTCCCAAAGTGCTGGGATTACAGGCGTGAGCCACCGCGCCCGGCCTACAAGTGCTTCTACATTCCCACAACCTTTCCTCACATCTGAGGCTGAAGCATAAGCTGACACGTGTGTGCCAGGCGACTCGCAGAGCACCTGCGCACAGAGTGGGCCAGCGGTGAGGGGTGGGGGCCCTCTTCTCTGTGGTGGAGTAGCAGGCTCTCTGCCTCAACCAGAGGCGCCGAGAGTCAAGTCATGACCTTCTGTGCCAGTCTCACTCCTTCCCCCACCTCTCCAGCTCGATGCAGAGCTCCTCCTCCATGCACCCAGTTTTCCAGGCTGGACAGCTCGGGGTCCTCCCCAACACCCTCACTCCCTCAGCAGCCTCCTCCAAACCTTCGGTCCCAGATGAGACCAACCATGGGTCACTTGTCACAGTCTTCTGCTGGCATCGAGCTTCTCCAGGGCAGGGTTTAGTCTGACCCTATCGTCTCTGCTTTTCTGGCATAGCACAGGGCAGAGGCTTCGTCCTGTTTATCGATGGAGCAAATGTCCTGTTTATCGATGTCCTGTTTATCAAAAGGCGTTTAGAACCCGACACCTGACAACCCCGCAGGGTCTCCACCATCTCACACCCGCACGTTCTCTGGAAACCACTCACTCAGCCCCTTGGTTGGGAACGTAACGAGGAGATGGCATTTGAGGAGCCCGGTGACCTTCGAGCGCCTTGAAAGTCATCTCGCCTCTTCTCCACAGCACCTCCTTGCCTTGGCCCGAGGCCGAGCTCCCTTCCTCCCCTGTGCATGATGCGCCAGCCACACACCCTCCCCTCCAATTCTAGACCAGGCCAAGCTGGACCCCACCCCGGAACCTTTGCACCTGCCATCCCAAGGTCTGGAAGGCTCCCCTCTCCCTGGTTTTATGCACCTGCTGCTTCTCAAGATCCGAGGCCTCTCCATCCTCTATGAGGCATCCTCACTGCCCCTCACACACCTGCTCATCGCATCGCATGTTTTCCACGCAGCCCTTGCTCCCCTCTGGAGGGAAGCGTGTGTTTAATGTGGAGTCTCCACCCCCCTCCTCCGCGTCCTAAGCCCAGCAGGGGCTCCTCGTCCCATATGGTCATGATGACATCCCCAGTACCTAGAAGGTGCCTGGTACGAAGTGAAGGACAGAGGGTGTTCCCTGAATGAATGAGACACTAACAGCCATTTTTATTGTCTTCTAGAATTTTCCATTTGCAGTGTGCAACAGAAAGAAAAAAAAAATGAAGCAATGTGACTCAAGGCCTGCTGTTTAATCACAGATAAGCTTCTAGAACAAGCCCTGGAATGTGCATTCCTGCCACTGGTTTCGGGATACTCATCAGTCCTGATTAGCCTCAGGGAGACCCCCCGTTTCCCTCCAGTGAATGTGAAGTTCCCCGTCTGGGTGGCCTGCCCTTCAGCCAGTGTCCTAGCAAAGCTGGATGGGGTTGGGCCGGCCCCCAGGGGGGACCCCTGCTACCCTTGACACCTCTGTGCTTTGGTAATAAATTTTTTACCAGAGCTTAAGGAACCAGTGTGTCTGCAAAAGTTCTTTTGGGGCCCAGGTGCGGTGGCTCATGCCTGTAATTCCAGCACTTTGGGAGGCCAAGACAGGAGGATCACTTGAGCCCACGAGTTTGAGACCAGCCTGGGCAACAGGGTGAAACCCATCTCTACAAAAAATACAAAAACCAGCTAGCCGTGGTGGTGGACTCCTGTCGTCTCAGCTACTTGGGAGGCTGAAGCAGGAGGATTACTTGAGCCCAGCAGGTTGAGGCTGCAGTGAGCCATGACTGTACCACTGCACTCTAGCCTGGGCAACAGAGTAAGACCCTGTCTCAAAAAAAAAGAAAGAAGGAAGAGAGAAGCTAAACCGGCTTCTCTAAATTTTGTCTTGAGTAGCTCAGATCATGCATCATACTTTGGAGTGTGGAGAATCCGAGGCCAGGTAAGGAAGAAAGTGCTCTCAGACGCCCTGACTCTCCTGTACTGATAAACCCTGCTCAGGAGAAGCAGGTGGGATCAGGGAACCGCATACCATCTCCTGGCTGAAGGCGGGTGTGTGCGCCCCTTTCCAGAAGGGGACATCCGCTAACAACAGAAAAACCGGCCCCCCAAACCTGTCCTGCTTAGACCCCTTGTTGCACATGAATCCGTGAACCCTGAAAATGTGAGACAGGTCCAGTGAATTTGGAAACTTTGTTTTGCCAAGGTTGAGGACATGGACCGCGACACAGCCTCAGGAGGTCCTGATGACGTGGCCAAGGTGGTTGGGGCACAGCTTAGTTTTATACGTTTTAGGGAGACTTGAGACACGAGTCACTATGTGTAAGAAGTACTTGGGTTCCGTTTGGAAAGGCAGGACAACTTGAAGCAAAGGCAGGAAGACTCGGAGTGGGGAGGGGGCTTCCAGGTCACAGATGGGTGAGAGATGAACAGGTGTGTTCTCTGGCGTTTCTGATTAGCCTTTCTAAAGGGAGGCGATCAGACGTGCATCTGTCTCAGTGAGCAGAGGGGTGGCTCTGAATAGAATGGGAGGTGGGTTTGCCCTAAGCTGTTCCCAGCTTGACTTTTATTTATTTTCCTTTCACAAGTCTATAAAAGATTAGGGGCGTCAGCTGCACTTCAGCACCCAAATCAGGTGAGCAGACGGTCAGTGTCACAATATCAACACCGGTCTCCATCCTCTGCCCGCTGGGGCAGTGCCCAGTCCAGTGCCTCAAGGTCCTGGCAGCCCCTGTGTCCTCCTTCCTCATCTCTTGAGCCAGCACAGCCAGCCCAGCCTGACCCTGCTTAGACAATGGAAGGAACCCAGGTCCAGGCCCAGGGAAGGCCCGGGCAGTGGCCCCACGTCTCTGAGCCCAGGGCCTTCTGTCTCCAGAGCCCAGGTTCTGAACCCTTGTGGGTTTTGGCAGCTCATCCTCCGAGCTCTGAGAGGAGGGTGTTGTCAGGATTAGATGATGATCTCCCAGCACAGGGGACGGGAATGGCCCGGGTGCCACCAGGACGTGCAGCTGACGGTGGCTGGAGCCCGTTCTCTGTCCCCCACACCCACACCCTGCCCCTTGCCCCAAAATGGAACCCTGGCTTAGATTTAATCAGACATTGGTGGTGGTGGTGTATTTTTGTTTTAGTTTTTGAGACAGTCTCGCTCTGTCACTGAGGCTGGAGTGCAGTGGTGCGATCTCGGCTCCCTGTAACCTCCGCCTCCCAGGTTCAAGCGATTCTCCCGCCTCAACCTCCTGAATAGCTGGGGCTACTTTCCACCACGCCTGGCTAATTCTTGTATTTTTGTATTTTTGGTAGAAACGGAACAGGGGTTTTGCCATGTTGGCCAGGCTGGTCTTGAACTCCTGACCTCAAGTGATCCACCCTCCCAAAGTGCTATGATTACAGGCGTGTGCCACTGCACCTGACCCATTTTTATCTATTATTATTATTATTTTTTTTTTTGACACGGAGTCTCACTCTGTTGCCCAGGCTAGAATGCAGTGGCTCAATCTCAGCTCATTGCAACCTCCACCTCCCGGTTCAAGCGATTCTTCTGCCTCAGCCTCCCGAGTACTGGAACTATAGGCGCCGCCACCATGCCCGGCTGATTTTTGTATTTTTAGTAGAGACTGGGTTTCACCATTTTGGCCAGGCTAGTCTTAAACTCCTGACCTTGTGATCTGCCTGCCTTGGCCTCCCGAAGTGCTGGGATTACAGGCGTGAGCCACCACGCCTGGCCTATTATGCCGTATTTTTACTAAACCTCCATTTTTGACTAACCTATTCATTGTGTTATAACTGCCTACAGCTTTTAGTTCAGGAACGTGCTGTGCAGGTGAATAGCCTGGGAGCAATGGGCTATACCGTACGGCCTCGGCGTGTGGCAGGCTGTACGATTTACGACTGCGTAAGCACATTCGAGGATGCTCACATAACAGAATCGCCTGACCATGCATTTCTCAGGACACATCCCCACACCTAAGTGACGCGTGGAAAGCAAGTTCTGTGTGAAAGATGCAGTAATGCGCCTCAGCAGAGCCCACAGCAGCGCGGTTAACGCCCTGGCAGGCCGTCCAGGGAACTGGCTCATCTTGCGTGTGGTGCCTGTGGTTCCTCCCTGATGCATGTTCCGTGGAAGGAGGAGGAAAGAAGTTGGATGTGACCACCGCAAACACCATATTAGAATGGGAGTGGAATGCAGACTGCAGCTGCAAGGAATTTGATAAGCGAATCCTGCAAAAAGAAGACACAGCTGGCTGGGCACGGTGGCTTACGCATGTAACCCCATCACTTTGGGAGGCTGAAGCTGGCAGATCACCTGAAGTCGGGAGTTCGAGACCAGCCTGGCCGACATGGTGAAACCGCGTCTCTACCAAAAATACAAAAATTAGCCAGGCATGGTGGCATGCGCCTATAATCCCAGCTACTCAGGAGGCTGAGACATGAGTATCGCTTGAACCCGGGAGACGGAGGTTGCAGTGAGCCAAGATCGCGCCACTGCACTCCAGCCTGGGCGATAGAGTAAGACTCTGTCTCAAAAAAAAAAAAAAGAAAAGAAAAGAAAAAGGACACTGCTAAGGGGGACAAAATCATCGGGGAAATATAATTAGTGATAGAGGTAATGTGATTCACACATTTATAATTTATTTCAGATAAATAATGGATGATTATCTGTGTCTGGTCAAATACGGAGGTTGAGGTCCCAGGAAGCGGGCTCTGAGGCGGAGAGCAGCCTGCAGGGATGTGTAGGCTGCCCCGGGATCCGGGAGTGTTGGGTGTGGGAGTGGGGGGAGCGGGAACGACAGAGAGAGAATCAAGCTCCGATGCGGCCCAAGGACAGCCCCACCCAAGGCTTCAGGGAGCTCTGAAGCTGGACCTGCCCTGCAGAAGGGTCTCGGTTTGGACCAGGGTGGACAGCCCACATCATGGGCTGCCCTGGGAAGAGGCATGACTCAGATGAGACTCGCCTCTGATGGATGCTTTATGTTAATTACTTCCTTATGCCTCACAAGAACCCTGTGAGTTAGGCTGACTGTGTCCACAGCGCAGAGGAGGAAAGTGAGGAGTAAAGTAACTTGCTCAAACTATTAGTCTCAGGATGGGGCTGAAATCTGAGTCCAGTTCTGGCTGTCACACCAGCACGACTCCCACACACTTGCTGGTGTCCTGTTTCCATGGAGCACTCTTCACCTCGGAACCATCCCTGACGTCTCCCTCTCCAACCAAATCCCGAGCCCTTCGGGGGCCGCCTCTTGTGGATCTTGATCGCTGAGTACTCGGTGCTGCTGGGGGCCTCCTGGTCCTCAGGCTCCCGGAGCCTCAGGCCCTGGAAGCTGAGGGAGGCATAGTGGGGCTCCCGCTCTTCCCCCTGCCCTGGGGTGGGGGTGGCTGCACCTGGGGGCAGGTGGTCTTGGGAGCTGCCTGCTGAGCATTCATGCTGCTGACCCTGAATGCAGGGGAGAAAGGGAGTCAAATTAGGATCATGGGGGCTAAGCGAGAGCAAGGAGGATGCACAAGAGGACCTGGAAGCTGAGCATTTCCTGTTTCACCTACTCATTCCACAGACGCTGGCTGGGCCCTCGTTCTTTCACTCATTCAGCAAGTATTTGAGAACAATAACATCTGGCTCTTGGTAATTCACTGCCAAACTCATAAAATCCAGACTCACAAAATCCTCACCACAATCCACTGGGGAGGCACTATGGTCCCCATGATCAGATGGAGAAATGGAGGCTGAGTAAATACTCCGAACCCACACATCTAAGCAGTGGTCAGGCCAGGATTCACGTCCAAGTCTCTCTGACTCCAGCACCTGCTGCCCTTATGGAACAGCTCCCCTGTGCCAGCCCCTGGATATTCCCGGGGGAACTAGGGAGACACCATCCCTGACCTCAGGCAGCTTGCAGTGTGGAAGGAGAAGCAGACATTAAAGCTCTAGTCAATCAAGTTACTATCTAATTGCAAATTATGAGTGGATGCCCAGGAAGGAGGAGGTATGAGAAAGACGGGGATTTGCTCGGACCTGGACTGACCTCAGGGACCTCGGAAGATCTACTCAAACACAATTGTGAAATTGAGCTAGAAGCCCAGGAAAGAAAGGTTACTGTAGGTAAAGGATTCACCTTGCCCAGAGAAAGGTGTGACAGGGAGACTCCGTCTCAAAAAACAACAACAACAACAACAAAAACAGAACTGGGAGTCGCTCTGGGTGAGTCTGAGTTGTAATGAGTGAATGTGAAGGCCTTGAACATTACTACACACTGCTGTAGACTTTATAAACACTATGCACTTAGACTACAGCAAATACATAAAAAATATTTTCCTTTCTTCAATAGTAGCCTGGCTGCGGTGGCTCACACCTGTAATCCCAGCACTTTGGGAGGCAGAGGCAGGCAGATCACTTGAGGCCAGGAGTTCAAGACCAGCCTGGCCAACATGGAGAAAGCCCATCACTACTAACAACATTCTTCTTTTTTTTTTGAGATGGAGTCTCGCTCTGTCACCCAGGCTGGAGTGCAAGGGTGCGATCTCTGCTCACTGCAAGCTCCGCCTCCTGGGTTCACGCCATTCTCCTGCCTCAGCCTCCTGAGTAGCTGGGACTACAGGCACCTGTCACCACGCCCGGTTTATTTTTTTATTTATTTTTTGAGACGGAGTCTTGCTCTGTTGCCCAGGCTGGAGCGCAGTGGCCGGATCTCAGCTCACTGCAAGCTCCGCCTCCCGGGTTCACGCCATTCTCCTGCCTCAGCCTCCCAAGTAGCTGAGAGTACAGGCGCCTGCCACCTCGCCCGGCTAGATTTTTGTAGTTTTTTTTTTAGTAGAGACGGGGTTTCACCGTGTTAGCCAGGATGGTCTTGATCTCCTGACCTTGTGATCCGCCCGTCTCGGCCTCCCAAAGTGCTGGGATTACAGGCTTGAGCCACCGCGCCCGGCCTTTTTTTGCATTTTTTTAGTAGAGACGGGGTTTCACCGTGTTAGCCAGGATGGTCTCAATCTCCTGACCTTGTGATCCACCCACCTCGGCCTCCCAAAGTGCTGGGATTACAGGTGTGAGCCACTGCGCCCGGCCAACAATATTCTTAAAAACTTAGCCAGGCATGGTTGCACACGCCTGTAATCCCAGCTCCTTGGGAGGCTGAGGCACAAGAATAGCTTGAGCCTGGAAACTGGAGATTCCAGTGAGCCAAGATCATGCCACTGCACTCCAGCCTGGGCAACAGAGCGAGACTCTGTCTCAAAACAACAACAACAACAAATAGTAAATATTAGCTTACTGTAACATGTTCACTTTGTAAACATAATATTTTAACTTTTTTATGCTCTTATAATAACACTTAGCTGGAAACACACACATTGTACAGCTGTACAAGAACATTTTCTTTATACCTTCATATCCTTTTCTCTATTCTTAATTGATTTAATTTTTAAGCTTTTGTTTTAATAACTAAGAGGCAAAATTCACACATTAGCCTAGACCTGCACAGGGTCAGGATCATCAGTATCACTGTCTTCCACGTCCACATCTTGTCCCACTGGAAGGTCTTCAGGTTCAGTAACACACATGGAGCTGTCATCTCCTAGGATAGGATAAGGATTTTTTTGTTGTTGTTTTGTTTTTGTTTGTTTGTTTTAGACGGAGTTTTGCTCTTGTTGCCCAGGCCAGAGTCCAATGGCATGATCTCAGCTCACTGCAACCGCTGCCTCTTGGGTTCAAGCGATTCTCTTGCCTCAGCCTCCGGAGTAGCTGGGATTACAGGTGTGTGCCACCACGCCCAGCTAATTTTTGTATTTTTTTTAGTAGAGATGGGGTTTCACCATGTTGGCCAGGCTGGTCTCAAACTGCTGACCTCAGGTGATCCACTCGACTCTGCTTCCCAGAGTGCTGGGATTACAGGCGTGAGCCAAGGCGCCTGGCCACATGTCTTCTTCTTGAATCCCTCCTGAAGGACCTGCCTGAGGCTGTTTCACAGTTAAGTTTTCCTTCACTGAGTGGAAGGACTACACTAAAATAACAACAAAAAGTATACCATAGTGAATACATTAACCAGTAACATCATCATTCATTACTAAGTGTAATATTATATACGATACAAATTGTATGTCTTACACTTTTATGGGACTGCCCATGCAGTAGGTTTGCTGACATCAGCATCACCATCAACAAGTATGTGTTGCACTGGACTACAGTGTAATGATGTTACCACTTCTCTAGGAGATAGGAATCTTTCTGCTGCATTAGAATCTTATAACACTGGCCAGGTGCGGTGGCTCACACCTGTAATCCCAGCACTTTGGGAGGCTGAGGTGGGTGGATCGCAAGGTCAGGAGTTCGAGACCAGCCTGGCCAACATAGTGAAACCCCATCTCTACTAAAAACACAAAAATTAGCTGGACGTGGTGGTGGCTGCCTGTAATCCCAGCTACTTGGGAGGTTGAGGCAGGAGAATCGCTTAAACCTAGGAAGTGGAGGTTGCAGTGAGCTGAGATTGCACCATTGCATTGCATACCAGCCCAGGCGACAGTGCAAGACTCCAGCTCAGAAAAAAAAAAAAAAAAGAATATTATGAAACCACTGTCATATTTGCCGTCCGTTATTGGCAGAAAGGTCCTTACGTGACACGTCTGCACACAGTTCAGTGCGGTGGTTCATGCCTGTAATCCCAGCAGTTTGGGAGGCTGAGGAGGGTGGATCACTTGAGGCTAGGAGTTTGAGACCAACCTGGCCAACATGGTGAAACCCCATCTCTACTAAAAATACAAAAATTAGCCGGACATGGTGGCAGGTGCCTGTAATCCCAGCTACTCAGGAGGTTGAGGCAGGAGAATCGCTTGAACCTGGGAGGCTGCAGTGAGTTGAGATCGTGCCACTGCACTCCAGCCTGGGTGATAAAGTGAGACTGTGTCTCAAAAAAAAAAAAAAGGGGGAACCTGAAGGAGGATCTGGACATAGTTTGGCAGGAGGGGAGGGAAGGGCGTTTCAGGAGAAGAAATTCCATATGCCAAGTGTCAGAGCCACAGAGTCTTTGGCCCAGAGGGTTTGGGGAGATGTTGGGTGACGCAGGGAGAGGAGAGATCAGGAGAGCCCAGCAGAGGACAGACCATGCAAGGCCTGCAGAGGAAACACGGCCGCTCAGACAGTGGAGGAACCGGATGAGGAGGCATCTGGAAGCAGTCTGGAGTCTGTTTTGGGAGAGATGGAGGCAAGAGATGAGGAGGGTTCAGTGACCAGGGAAGAGGTGAGGCCCAGGCATGACTGGGGCCAGGATGGAGAAAAGGGCTCCAAGGTGACCTGTACTTAGGAGGAGGGACAAGAGCTAGTGATTTATGGGATCTAGAGGAGGGAGGGAGGTCAAGGTGGACACCCACACCCGGGTTTTGACATTAGAGATGGGGCTACCACGTCATCAGAGGGATGGGGCTCTCAACAGGAGAAGTGGGCTTGGAAAGGGAGGTGACAAGTCAGTTATGGCCACGTTGAGTGGAGCAATCCTTGGGGCCATCTAGGGGGAGGTGTCCAGCAGGATGTTGGAAGGGAAGAGGCCCATGACACTCACCTGGAGATTAGTCTGTGACAGTGTCTGCAGCTTGCATGCCCAGTGCTGCCCTTGCTGCCTTCCTCCTGCAGGACCTCACTCTGGATGAAGAGACCAGGGCCTGTGAGTGTGGCCGCATTGGGGCTCAGAAGGCAGCAGACTCACCTCGCTGTGCCCTGCTAAGGGGCTGGAGGGGACTGAGGCAGAGAGAGCAGGCGTAGCCCCCAGGACCTCCCCGATGAAAGCAGGAACCTCCCCAGCCTGGAAATTGGTCCAGAGTTGGGGACTGACAACATTGGCCCGTGTGGAATCATCACGATCAACTCAGCCTCTGCCTGGCCGCAGGCGTCTTAAACTGTCCAAGCACCCCCAGGATTAAGATCTGGGATTGAGCGGTGTATCCTCTGCCCTCTCCACCCCTCCCCTTGGACCCTGGGGCAGGGCTCACCTGAGGAGGATGAGGCAGAGGCAGAGAAGCAGGATCTTCGTAGCCATCTCCCCGACAGCCACCAGAACCAGCCCCGTCACGGGCCCTGATTTGCCTGGAAAAGTGGGATGAGGCCCGTTCACCTGCTAAACTACAGTCCTGAGTCCTTCCTTTCTTACTGCAACTTCAATCTGGGTTCTCCAGGCCCTTCCTACACCCTTGGCTGTGGGACCTGGAGAGCCCAGGCCTCCCTACCCTACACCCTGACTGTCCAGCAGGAAACGAGAGCTCTGGGTCCCATGGACGTTCTGGGCCTCGAAGCGGAGCCTGAGGTTGGAGCCAAGCCCCCACTTGGAGGCTTGAGGGAGCTGTTGACCCAGGGCCTGGCTGAGCTGGGGGTGACATCGAAGAAGCCCTGGCTGCTGTTCCCCTCCAACAGCTCCCCACCAATCCACCAGCTCAGAGCCAGGGCCGGGCTGGCTTGGGAGGAGCAGCTGCAGTGCAGACCCTCAGCCTCCCAGGAGGAGGAGGGGCCCAGCAGCTGTGGGGGGTCTGTGGGATGGAGGACAGGACTCAGCAGGGGCCCCTTCCTGGGACCCAGGTGCCCCCCTTTCCCCACTCGCAGTGCACGGAGCGCCTGAGAGAGACGTGCTGGGAGCCCAGCGGGTGCTGAGCGTGGCAGGTGAACCCTCCTTCTTGCTCCACTTGAACCCGAGGCAGCTCCAGGACCCCGGGGTCTGAGGGCTGGGAGGAGCCCACGGTCTGTCCCCCCTGGGTCCAGCTCAGCCTGGCTGGGGGGCTGCTGTGGGTGACACAGACCAGGCGCAGGCTTTGGCCCTCCAGGACCGGGAGGGACGTGCCGTTCCTGAGGTTTTCCAGGACTAGGGAAGGAAGGGGCAGAATCCATGTGCAGCTCAGGGCTCCGGGACCCTCCAGATTCCTGGGCCCCAGTTCGGCACCGAGAGGCCCTGGCTCCTCTGTCCCCTTTCCTACCTGTCCTGTTTGCTTGGGAAACCATCACACTCAGGTTCTGTGGAGGATCTGAAATGGAGAGAGGGGACCGGCTCTAGACGGGCCAGGGGCTTCCCCCTGGGTAAAGGGAAGCGTCCTGGAGACTGAGGTGGGGGAAGTGGGTGGGATAGAAGGGCAGTGCAGAATCACCCACTGAGTCCCAGACACAAACTGCATGAGGGTCTACACAGGTAAGGTCAGTCCCCGAGGCCTGGGGCTCCAGATCCCCTCAGCTCTGGGACCCTGAGCCCAGCCCCTGCATCCCCACCTGTTCTGCCCTCCCGATGGACCCCAGGCCCCTGCTGGGCGCACTCACACTGCACAGAGAGGTCCAGGGCTCGCTGCTGGGAGCCAAGCCTGTTCTCCACTCGGCAGGTGTAGCGCCCTGAATCCCTGGCCTTCACCCCGGGCAGCTCCAGCCCCAGGGTTCTGGGGCCCCAGGGGTGGGACAAGGAGAGGACTCTGTCCTGCAGGACCCAGCTCAGCGTGGCGGGGGGCTGGCTGTCAGCAGCACAGAGGAGCCGCAGGAACTGGCCTTTCTGGGCTTCCAGGACAGAGGACCAGACGCCATTCCCATCCCCCTCCCAGGGCTGAGCCCGCATCCTGGGACCTCACAGCTTCCTCTCCCTGGATGCTCCTGAGCTGGCAGCCGCTCCACTGCCCCACTGGGCTCCTCCACCTCCCCACCCACCGGGTCTGTCTGCACGCCTCAGCGTCCCAGGCCACACTCACAGGCCACGCGGAGTCGGACGGTCCTCTGTGCGCTCACACCCTTTCTGGTGAAGTCCACGTGGCAGGTGAGGTTGGTGTCGTGGTCCTGGGGGCTGGGCGTGAAGCTGAGCACTGAGAAGTGGGAGGTCGTTGGTTTGCTTCCTTGGGAGAAGAGGGCAGTCCCCGTCCAGGAGAAAGAAGGGGCTGGACATTCCTCAGAGGCCCAGTTAAACACACAGATGACCGTCACTGGCTGCCCGGGCTCCAGAGTCTCAGGGATGTAGACATCAGGCTTCTGAGTCAGGGCTGGGACAGCGACATGGGTGAGGGGTTCTAATGCTGCAGGGGTCCCTGAGAGCCCTCTCTGCTCAGCCCATAGCCTGCCCCCAGGGTCCCTCTCCAGTGTGAGAGGCAGCGGTTCCCATCCCATTCCATACCTGTTACTTGTAGAAGGAACCCATTGTTCCTGAAATTATATCTCACATATGTTCCTCTCTCCACCCGAAAGAAGTACCGTGCCTCATCCTCCCTCTGCGCGTCTCTGATCACCAAGGAGCAGCTCCCCTTGCCCGGATCCCCAGTGAGCTGGAATCGGCCCCGGGCGCTCATTTCCACCTCTCGACTCTGGTTGTTTGTGGCCACAGGAGCACCCGCATTTGTGCTGGTCCCTTCTTTGAACCAGTAGCCATAAGCAGCAGTAGACTCTTTCCAGCCATCCCAGGGGTAGGAGAGGTTGCAAGGCACCATGACGCACAGGCCCTCCTGCACCGTCACCAGCCTCTGCACTTGAAGACTGTAACTGGGATCCTTGTTCAGGGACCCTGGGGAGATGCAGAGGCTCAGCGGCGGCCCCAGTCCCTGCATGGGACCCCCAGCCACCGACCCACTCACCCGCCCCCAGCACGGGCAGCAGCAGGGGCAGCAGCAGCATCTCTGGGCTCTGGGGCTGGGCCTGTCCCGGGACCATCTGGTTTCTGGGCCGGCCTGGCGGGGAAGGAAACTCCTCGAGCAGGAAGCCTGGCAGAGGGACAGTGACCATCCGCAGAGGAGGAGCCTCAGGAACCGCAATGTCCTGAAAGATCCTCTCCTGACTTCTCCTTTCACAGGGGAAGCAGCAGGGCAGAGGGCATGAGGCCAGCCCCAAACCAGGAAGGAGCCACCCTGGCCAGCCTTGGGCGTGGGCAGTGCTAGGAGGGGACTGTCAGGGGACACAGGTGAGTCATGGCTGCAGGTGAGGTGATGGATGCAGAGTCCCATTCATTCATTCATTCACTCATTCATTCATTCTCCAGGGGGCAGTGGGACACTGGAAGAGTCTACAATAACTCTGTGATTTTTTTTTTTTTTTTTTTTTTTTTTTTTTTTGGATGAGTTCCTCTGTGCAGGGGGGCAGTGGGGATCTCAGCTCGGGGTAAGAGTCCTAGCAATAATGAGATTTATGGTGAGGGCTTTGCACCATGTATTATTGCTGTACCTCCACAGAGAGTAAAAACTGGGTCAACCACACAGGCAGTCAGCCACATCTACCTGACCAACTCCCAGTAAAAACTCTGAACACCGGCCGGGCGTGGTGGCTTACACCTGTAATCCCAGCATTTTGGGAGGCTGAGATGGATGGATCATGAGGTCAGGAGATCGAGACCATCCTGGCTAACACGGTGAAACCCCGTCTCTACTAAAAATACGGCCGGTCGCGGTGGCTCAAGCCTGTAATCCCAGCACTTTGGGAGGCCGAGACGGGCGGATCACGAGGTCAGATCGAGACCATCCTGGCTAACACAGTGAAACCCCGTCTCTACTAAAAAAATACAAAAAACTAGCAAGGTGAGGTGGCGGGCGCCTGTAGTCCCAGCTACCCGGGAGGCTGAGGCAGGAGAATGGCGGGAACCCAAGGGCGGAGCTTGCAGTGAGCAGAGATCTGGCCACTGCACTCCAGCCTGGGTGACAGAGCGAGACTCCGTCTCAAAAGAAAAAAACAAAAACAAAAACAAACAAACAAAAAACTCTGAACACCGAGGCTCAGGTGAGCTCGCCTGGGTGACAATACTTAGTGTATGTTGTCACTCATCCTTACTGCTAGCATTAGTGTTTTCTGTATGATTTCACTGGGAAAGGACAATTGGAATCCCACACATTGTCTCTTCTGGATCCTGCCCTATGAAACTTTTTCTTTTGTTGATTTTTATTTATTTTTTTTTTTATTTTTGAGACAGAGTCTCACTCTGTCACCCCAGCTGGAGTGCAATGGCGCAGTCTCAGCTCACTGCAACCTCCGCCTCCCAGGGGCCAAGTGATTCTCCTGCCTCAGCCTCCCAAGTAGCTGGGACTACAGGCACTCGCCACCACGCCCGGCTAATTTTTTGTATTTTTATTAGAGATGGACTTTCATCATGTTGAGCAGGCTGGTCTCGAACTCCTGACCTCAGGTGATCTGCCTGCCCAGCCTCCCAAAGTGCTAGCATTTACAGGCGTGAACAACTGTGTCTGGCTTGTTGATTTTTTTTTTTTTTTTTTTAAGGTGAAGTTTCACTGTTATTGCCCAGGCTGGAACACAATGGCATGATCTTGGCTCACCACAACCTCCACCTCTCAGGTTCAAGCGATTCTCCTGCCTCAGCCTCCTGAGTAGCTGGGATTACTGGTGCCTGCCACCACGCCTGGCTAATTTTTTGTATATTTAGTAGAGATGGGGTTTCACCATGTTGACCAGGCTGGTCTTGAACTTCTGACCTCAGGTGATCCACCCGCCTTGGCCTCCTAAAGTGCTGGGATTACAAGTGTGAGCCACTGTGCCCAGCCCTGGTTTGTTGATTTTTAAAAATTATTTTTATTAATATGTGATATTTGTACATATTTATGGGGTATATGTGATATTTTGTGCCATGCATATAATATGGTATAATCAAGTCATGGTATTTGAATATCTGTCACTTCAAACATGTATTATTTCTATATGTTGGGAACATTTCAAATCCTCTTTTCTAGCTATTTTGAAAAATACAATATGTTATTTATTTATTTTTAAGACAGGGTCACTCTGAGGCCGGACGCGGTGGCTCATGCCTGTAATCCCAGCACTTTGGGAGGCCAAGGCGGGCGGATCACAAGGTCAGGAGATCAAGGCCATCCTGGCTAACACGGTGAAACCCTGTCTCTATTAAAAATACAAAAAAATTAGCCAGGTGTGGTGGCGGGCGCCTATAGTTCCAGCTACTCAGGAGGCTGAGGCGGGAGAGTGGCGTGAACCTGGGAGGTGGAGCTTGCAGTGAGCTGAGATCGCACCACTGCCCTCCAGCCTGGGTGACAGAGTGAGACTCCATCTCAAAAAAAAAAAAACAGGGTTACTCAGTCACCCAGGCTGGAGTGCAGTGGTGTGATCATGACTCACTGCAGCTTTGATCTCCCCAAGCTCAAGCAATCCTCCCACTTCAGCCTCCTGAGCAACTTGGGACTACAGGTGTGCACCACCACTTAATTTTTGTACTTTTTTTTTTTTATAGAGATGGGGTTTCACCATGTTGCTCAGGCTGGCCTCAAACTCCTAGGCTCAAGCAATCTGCCTGTCTCAGCCTCCCAAATTGTTGGGATTACAGGCATGAGCCACCACTACAATATGTTACTGTTAACTATAGTCACCCTACTCTGCTATTAAACATAAGAACTACTCCTTCTATCTAACTGTATATTTGTTAGATAGAGCTCTTCATTCCCCACCTACCCACCCATGTACCCTTCTAGGGCTCTCATAACTATTGTTCTACTCTCTGCCTCCATGACATCATAGTCCATGATCTCTGTATGCCTTTACGTATCCATAGCTTAGCTCCCACTTAAAAGTGAGAACAGATGGCATTTGGTTTTTCATTCCTGAGTTACTTCACTTGGAATAATGGCCTCCAGCTCCGTTCAAGTTGTTGCAAAAGACATTATTTCATTTTTTTCTTATGGCTGAGTAATATTCCATGATAATGGTATACATACCACTACCTAGACCAATGTCTTGAATAGTTTTTCCTAGGTTATATTCTAGAATTTTTTGGTTTCAGGTCTTAGATTTAAGTCTCTGATCCATATTGAGTTGAATTTTTTTTTTTTTTTTTTTGAGACAGAGTCTCACTCTGTCGCCCAGGCTGGAGTGCAGTGGCATGATCGCGGCTCACTGCAACCTCTGCCCACCAGGTTCAAGCAATTCCCTTGCCTCAGCCTCTTGAGTAGCTGGGACTACAGGTGCATGCCACCATGTCAGGCTAATTTTTTTGTATTTTTAGTAGAGACGGGGTTTCACCATGCTGGTCAGGCTGGTCTCGAACTCCTAACCTCGTGATCCGCCCACCTCAGCCTCCCAAAGTGCTAGGATTACAGGCTTGAGCTACCGCACCCAGCCTAATCTTTGTATTTTTAATAGAGACGAGTTTTCACCATGTTGACCAGGCTGGTCTCGAATTCCTGACCTCAAGTGATCTGCCTGCCTTGGCCTCCCAAAGTGCTGGGATTACAGGTGTGAGCCACTGCGTCCGGCCTACTTTAATCATTTTAAAGTGCACAATCAGCTGGGCGTGGTGGTGCATGCCTGTAATCCCGGCCACTCGGGAGGCTGAGGCACGAGAACTGCTTGAAACTGGGAGGCAGAGGTTGCAGTGAGCCGAGATTGCACCACTGCACTCAGCCTGGGTGACAAAGCAAGACTCAAAAGGGGAAAAAAAAAAGAAAAAAAGTACAGTTCATTGGCAATAAGTACGTTCACATTCTTGTGCAACCATCAGCTCCATCTAGTTGCAGAACTTTCCCATTACTGAAAAAAGAAACCATGTACCCATTAAACTGTCACTTCCCATTCTTCTCTCCCACCATGCCCCCCCTCCCAACAATGACAAATCTACTTCCTGTCTCTACATTTGCCACTTCTGGACATATCAGATGAACAGAATCACGCAGTATTGTCTGGTTTCTTTCACTTAGTATAGTGTTCTCAGGACCATCTGTGTTTGGCAGGTGTCAGAATGTCATTCCTTTTTAGGGGTGAAGAATACTCCATTAAATGGATAAACCACATTTTGTTCATGGAGTTTTAAATTTGCTAGTTAATGTCCAAATCCTCAGCCTTGGGGAATCGGGAGGGTGGGCAGTGCAGACTCTCAAAGGTGCTGGGGTCCCTGCCCTTGAGTCTGCACAACCCAGACCCCCTCTATGCCCAGCTGGGTAATCGGGGCTGGGCTGAGCCACAAACTAGTCTGGGCATCAGGGTGGGGAGAGGACAGAGCTGTGACCCTATGATGCAAGGCCCAAGTTCCCCAGTGGGGCTCCATGAACCAATTAGACCTCATTTACAAAACGCAGATCAAAAGATAAATTATTAAGAATCTCCAGGGGGCAACCTCAGAGCAGTAAACCCCAAGCATGAGGCCCTCTGAGCTCGCTGGGGTCTTATGTCACTGCCCCCCAACTCACTGTGGAGCTGGGAGCCTGCTGTAAGCTGCCGAGACGGCCCCACAACACGCAGGGGAGCTGAGTGCCTTTCGGGAGCCCAGGGACCCTGAGTTGACATAAGTGGAGGTGAGGATCCTGTGGGCAGGGATTGGTTGGTCATCTCTTCTTTGCCTCCCCCCACTGCATGGAGTAGATTTTGCCTGGAGAATGAATGAATGAATGAATGAATGGGACTCTGCATCCATCACCTCACCTGCAGCCATGACTCACCTGTGTCCCCTGACAGTCCCCTCCTAGCACTGCCCACGCCCGAGGCTGGCCAGGGTGGCTCCTTCCTGGTTTGGGGCTGGCCTCATGCCCTCTGCCCTGCTGCTTCCCCTGTGAAAGGAGAAGTCAGGAGAGGATCTTTCAGGACATTGCGGTTCCTGAGGCTCCTCCTCTGCGGATGGTCACTGTCCCTCTGCCAGGCTTCCTGCTCGAGGAGTTTCCTTCCCCGCCAGGCCAGCCCAGAAGCCGGATGGTCCCGGGACAGGCCTAGCCCCAGAGCCCAGAGATGCTGCTGCTGCCCCTGCTGCTGCCCGTGCTGGGGGCGGGTGAGTGGGTCGGTGGCTGGGGGTCCCATGCAGGGACTGGGGCCGCCGCTGAGCCTCTGCATCTCCCCAGGGTCCCTGAACAAGGATCCCAGTTACAGTCTTCAAGTGCAGAAGCAGGTGAC